ATTATAATATAAGTGTTGCTTATAAAATGGGAGTAGCTTAATTTCTTAATACTGCTATATTAACTTTAATTATTAATCTTTTTATATAAGAAAATATCTCCAGTTTAGATTAAGCTATTTGGTAGACTGGTGGACTCAATTCAGATGTTATGTTGATTTTCATAACTAATTCAATTATGCCATGGTTAACTTAATTAATAGATATCAATTATTTTTATAAGTTATATGTTAGATAGAAAATTATTAAATAAGGAGAAAATTGTAAATACACCTAAAATGAAGCTAATAAGTATATTAAAATATATTTTTAGAGCATTTGAAGGACCATCAATTGATTTATCATAAAAATATGCTAATTTATGTAAAACATTAATGTTTACATTCTTATATTCTGCATTATTACCAATAGGAGTTTGTTTCACTTTTCTATCAATTATTTGTTTATATTGGGCAGAAAAATATTTATTAGTAAGAAGAGATTCTAAACCTGCTCCAACAGGAAGTGCTATGGCTGAAGCAATGGTTGATTTTTATATCGAATTAATACTTTTGTTATTTTCTGTAAATGAGTTAAACTTAATTATTTTAGTTAGGATGTACTTTTTGGGAATGGGTTAACTACGACAAAGTTCATTTTCTCACATGGGTATAATTGGGATTTTCGACCTTATACTACTTGATCCCAATTCAGAAAGTTTGTGGATGCATTGTGGATTTAGGAATTGACAACGCCACTACTTCATCTTATGATGAAAAATTCTTGACTTTCTATGATGATTATGATAGACGTAATCCTGTTACTTTAGATGCAGCCAAAGAAAAGTGGATTCAACTTCATTAATAAACCATTTTACCAATACCTTAAAAAGAGAATAAATAAAATAGATCTATTAATCATAAAAATTTATTCAAAAAATAAAAAATAGTTAATTACATATCCTAAAATGTCTAAAAGATTTATCCATTAGATAGTAAAAACATTAAAGATACTGATTAAATTTAAGAACTATAATTTTGATTTAAAACATTGATATTTATGTATTTATAAATAAGTTTACATTTTGCATATTTAAATTAATAGAAGATTAAATTTTACGAAATTTCTTATGTTCTTGGATGAAAACTAATATATAAGAGAATTATTTCTGAATTCTCAACTTCATTATTATAATTTTTTAGAATATAATTATTAAATTAAAATTACTTGATAGATCATATTTCAGATATTTAATTTTCAATATAATTAAAGAATTATGTGGAAATTTATCATAACTAAGTAATTAACCTTGATGGCATTTTGATATTTTAAATAAGTTTAATATCTTATTAAACAATAAATCAAGAATTCTAATCCCTATTATGTTTTATTAAGTTTGTTTATTAATGCATCTTTTATTATTCTTATTATGAAATTTTTAATTATTTTCTATGTTACTTAATTAAACCTATCAAAATTTTTAATTTTCACTAACATTTTAGTCTTTTTTTGAAAGTTCAGATCAAAGAATTAAAGGGAAAGTTTTGAGGTTTTGAAGAAGGCAATACCTAATTGCTTTTTTTTAAAATATTACTCTAACCATAATTCCAAATCCAATAACAATCAAATGCAAAAAATTAATTTAAGAAACTTAAACAATAATTAAAAATTTAAGCATTTATGGAATATAGGCTTTTTTTACAAATTTATTACATTTGGAAAAGTTTTTGTTGCTTATTTTTCCAGGTTTTAAATTTATTACTTGCCCAATTTCTTATTTTTTGCATAGTGAAAAAAGAAATCTTGTAAAAAATCATTTTTAAATCATTTAGAAAATAAGTTAGAAATCAAAATAAACATCTTTTGCATTTTCTTGATTTAATTTACATATGAAGATTTTAGGATATCAATTAGGAGAGTATGAGAAAAAATAACATTATTACCAAAGTATCAACTGAAGAAAGCTATTAAAACTCATCTAATAAATATTCCTAAAGCAAAACTAGACTTTTCAATTCTTGCTATGCACTGAAGATATTATCAAATCTTTCAAAAAATTTATTGTCAGATCTTTTGACTTTTATAGATGTTTAGAAAAATTAATAGAGTAAAATATATCAGAAGTTATACAAAATTAATTGCTTTTAAAAATAAGAGGGCAAAAAATCAGAAATTAAAATTAACGGAATGTAATCTTTTAAGGCAAAATAGTTCATTTATTGATTGAAGCAGATAGTTTTAAAATTTAAAAGGCTGGTTTATGGATATTTTTCTTTTATACATTTATAATATCATTAAAGAAAATTTTTTTTTTTATATATGTCTTTTGGATAATGTAGAAAAGGTAGGAAGAAATTTAATTAAAGAACTATGATGGCAAATCATTTGTAATTATTAGCAAAAACATCTAAGATATAGATTTTGTAAGAAAGAAGTATAAAACAAGTAAAGAAAAACTATATGATTAATAATTCCGATTATTTATCATTATTAATAACTAAATTATTTTTGACATGTTGAGTTAAGTTCTTCAAGTTATTGGAGCTCAACAAACTGAGGAATAGCAAATGGAAGCTATTTATGATGATTTTTAAAGGCCTCCAAAGATTTAGATTGCAATGATGCATGCTGCTGCAACCAAATTTGCAAAGACTGACTCAAATATCGATCTCGATAAAACAAATGTTTGTCCCTGCTGTGGACTACCAGCTGTAATTGAAGAAATTCCTTTATGTTCATCAAGGCATGAATTCAGTTTCAATGGTTCAGGAATAGCTTTGTATTTTGATTTCTTAGTGTTTTCTGGTATTATTGTCTTTACTTACATGTATCTTCATTTATGGAAATTTTTAGAGCCATCAGTTGTGGATACAATATATATGTAAATTCTCATGGAAAGCGATGCATTCATATAAATAGTAGTTTTGCTGATTAATGTAAATCAGACTTTTTTAACTAATTTTCATTGACAAATGATCATGAGTATTAATCTTTAATATATATACTAGACAATTAGATGAAACTCGTAGTATACTAAATTTTATATCCTTAGTAGTAATATTGTTTATGACCTTATTTTACAGAAGACACATAAACAAAATTGCTATGGAATTAGATGATGCTGCTATCTTAGCTTCTGATTTTTCAATCTTAGTTGAGAATATTCCAAGAGATGCCAAAGAGCCAGAAATTTAGGAATATTTTTCTTAATCATTTCAAAATGAAACAGTGGAACTTAGAAAACTTTGCATAGCCTATGAAATTTAACCTTATTTAAAACTAAATACTTAAAAATAATTGAAAGAATCTGTGCTTACAAAAGTACTTGAATTAGAAGCAGAAGGAAAATAAATACCTAAATCTATTCCATCTAGAGTTTAATTAAAATAAGAGATAGATGAAATCTCAAAGGAATTAGATTATATGGAAGATCATAGGGCAACTATTTTTAGTTTCAGTGGAATTTGTATAATCAGTTATAATTATGAAAGATAAGCTGATAATGTTTGTAAAACATTCAAAGCTACAAGATTTTAAGTATTATTAGATTAATTAGGATTCGAACAAAATCAATTCTAATAATTTAGAAATAATAATCTTTTTGTAAGAAAAGCACCAGAACCAGGGGATATAATTTGGGGTAATCTTGGGATAACTATCAAAGAATAATTTAAAAGAACATTAATAACTAATGCTATGACTCTTTTTTTATTAGCAATTGGATTTGGATTATTGCTTGCATTATCCTATTTATAGAATGTCATAAATAAAAATATTTCAAAAGGGTCAGCTGCAGAAGCAACTATTGTTACTTTTATAGGATTTGCTTCATCAATTCTTATTTTGATTATAAATACAATATTAGCTAAAATGATCATACGATTCGCTGAATTAGAATAATAAGCTACTAGAACAGATTATAATATAAGTGTGGCTTATAAAATGGGAGTAGCTTAATTTCTTAATACTGCAATTTTAACTTTAATTATTAATCTTTTTATATAAGAAAATATATCGAGTTTAGATTAAGCTATTTGGTAGACTGGTGGACTCAATTCAGATGTTATGTTGATTTTTATAACTAATTCAATTATGCCATGGTTAACTTAATTGATAGATATTAATTATTTTTATAAGTTATATGTTAGATAGAAAATTATTAAATAAGGAGAAAATTGTAAATACACTTAAAATGAAGCTAATAAGTATATTAAAATATATTTTTAGAGCATTTGAAGGACCATCAATTGATTTATCATAAAAATATGCTAATTTATGTAAAACATTAATGTTTACATTCTTATATTCTGCATTATTACCAATAGGAGTTTGTTTCACTTTTATATCAATTATTTGTTTATATTGGGCAGAAAAATATTTATTAGTAAGAAGAGATTCTAAACCTGCTCCAACAGGAAGTGCTATGGCTGAAGCAATGGTTGCTTTTTATATCGAATTAATACTTTTGTTATTTTCTGTAAATGAGTTAAACTTAATTATTTTAGTTAGGATGTACTTTTTGGGAATGGGTGAACTACGACTAAGTTCATGTTCTAACATGGCTATAATTGGGATTTTCAACCTTATACTATTTGATCCCAATTAAGAAAATCTGTGGATGCATTGTGGATTTAGGGATTGACAATGCCACTGTCGAATCTTATGATGAAAAATTCTTAACTTTCTATGATGATTATGATCGACGTAATCCTGTAACTCTAGATGCAGCCAAAGAGAAGTGGATAAAAATTCAATAGGAAACCGTCTAACCTAATTCATAGCAAAAAACAAAGTAAATAAAATAATTTAAATCTTAGCAATTAAACAAAACAATATCACAAGATTAACCATATTGGCACAGTAAGCACAAAAGTTCATCCTTTAAATACTGCAAATAGCAGAGAAATAGATGATTTATAATAACTCTAAGTTTGATTTTACTAATAGATGATATTAATTTTTTCCTTATTAACTCTTAAATCATTATGTCAAAATTATATTAAAATATAATAACAGACTCAGTATGAATTCTTAAATCTCGAAAACTTATAATAAAATTTCTGATGTTTTCTCTCGAACTCAAATTAAGCAAGCAGTTGAAGGTTTGGACACTTGTAGACAAAGAATAAAATTAATTGATCATATAATAGATAGAAGAGAATAAATTGCGAAATCTGAAGATATTGCTAAATTATAATAATATGCACACATCTTTAAAAAAATGCTAAACAAATATAAGAAAAAGAAAAGTGATTAAGAGTAATAGAAAAAATAATAAAAATTGGATTTAGTTATGCAATTATTAAGTGGGGAAAAGAATAAAAAGTAAGAAATTAAGAAGGAGTCAAGAGTTATTCTTAAGTATTGTTAGATTGGAAATAACAAGCTTCATCCAATAATAAATAAGAGGGTTGTTACACCATCAACAAAGGCTGATGATACAAAAATTTAAGAGAATACATAAGTTAAATCAAGAAAAATATCCAGATTTTTTACTGAAAGGGATCCTTTATAGATTGAAGCTTAAATAGAGAGGGAAGTATGTGTATTTTTAGAGAAAAATAAAGAACTTAATTATTTATAAAAGGAAAGGTTTTTAAGACTCACAGATGATAATAAAAAATTTCAATATTTAGAAAATTAAATTAAAAAACAATTAAAATAATAAGAATATCAATAACAGTAAACAGCAGTAAAAGTAATTCATTAATTTATAGTAGTAATATTATAGAGTTTAAAATTTATTCCATAAAAACTACTTCAAAGGAGCTTCAATAAAAATAATAAAAACATAAAAAACATAACCTATGACAATAGCCAAAGATCATTGTAAAACAGAAAGACAACAAATTTAAGATCAAGAATCATTCGCCTCATATACTGAATTTAAGCTAAACTAATTATATACTGATTCAATTGATGCTCAGAGATCTTTAAAATCCAAACATCAATCTTGTCCAAATAGTCTGCTTTAGTCATATTTAATTAGTACTAATGTAGATATAATTGATGTTTCAAACTAAAAATTGTTTTAGATAAAGAAATAAAAAAAGTGAATATGTTTTGGTAATTATTTGTGATAATTTTATATATGTTTAAATTTAATGAAACCAAAATATTCAAGCATATAATTTTTAATAATATTACATATTTTGGATGAGTTCAATTAGTTTTGCTATCTAGCATAAATTTAAAGGAATTAGAAAAGGTTTGGGTTACAAAAAATTGAGATCTATTTGATTGAGTTTTAGAATCAATCAGCATTAAGAATACTAATAATTTTATACTCTGAAATATATACTTCTTTAATTTGAATGAAAAAAATCATTTGAAAAATAATTATAATTTTTAGGGCCAATTAACTAAAATATAATTTAAACCCATCAATATAATAAGTTTACGACCTAAAATAAAAGATAAGCTGAGATTTGATTCATCTCATAAGAAAAAAGAAGAGAATAATATTTTAACATTTATATATCATTATTAATTTAAATAATTATTTAAACTAGAAAAATTTACTTCAACTTGGTAAAAAAGATCCAATATAACAAAATAAATTTATAGCAATTTATAGAATTTGTCCAATAATTTCACCTAGAAATTTTACTCTTTCAGAAATTCTAAAAAATACAAATTATTTCAAATAAACTATTAATAAATATAGATTAGATTTTAGATTGGATTTTTTCTTATTTCTCATAATATGATAAGGGTGAATAGGGAATTAAATGTTATTTATAGTATACAACCTTTAGGACTATTATTAAATGAAAAAACGAATATTTAGACTATAAAAAATTAGATTAGAACCCATTTAAAGGGTTCTGTGACTCTATTTTTTTGGTTGTAGAACTTAGAATGATTATCTAATTAAGGTGGAATGTAAAGAAAACGAAGAAAATAGTACATTAAATTAAATTGAATTTTTTTTTTCTAGAAAGGGAAAATAGTTGATATTATAATTAATAAGGATAATTTCGGTTTAGGTTTTGAGTTTATAAATTCCTTATGCCAATATTATGGACTTATTAATGTATAAGGATCTAATTAGATGGGTTGAAATGCTTTGATTACATTGAGAAAATGTTTAAAACTGTTTAGAAATTTATGCTTTACTTGGAATATAGGATAGCTAATGAATTAGAAGTACAAAAGATATTTGTGTAAGATTGATTAAATATGTTGATTGATAACATGATTATGGATTAATCATTTAACACGTTTAGAACAAAATGTTTTGACTGGATTATATATAGGTCCTGGAGAATGAGCATCTTCTTTTTAAAGTTTTTCATCAATCCAACTAATTTTAGCAGATTTACCAATTGTAGCATTGGGAGAAGTTTCTCTGACATCTATATGTTTAAGATTGAAATATACGTTTTTCAGCTACTTCTGTTCGATATCTTCCTACTCCAGGAGAACTTGTTGTTAAACTATTGTCTAATTATCTTTTAGCTTTATTGAATGTTGTTGGAGATCCTCTCATTTAAATGGACATCTCACTTAAAGGAATTGTTTATTATTGTTTGATAGTTGAAATTTTGCTTGGTGATCTACTGACATAAGATTGACTCATTGCCATTTTTTTAAGATCAGGTTCTGATTGTCTTTCTATTTTTCTTGAAATTGGAGATATGATTTCAGATTTATTATTATTGAGTTAAAATGTTTCATCTGAAATCAAATTCATTGAATTAACTATTTGATTCCAAACATTATTTGATGTAGCAGTTAAAATTAAATCAAAATTACTCTTAAAAATTTGGATGTTCCTATTTAATTATATAGAGTATTCGACTTTCTATCCTTATTTTTACATGGCACTGATCACTTCTTTAAGTCCTTTTAGAATCATGGAAACATTATATTACTTTAAGATGCAAAATTGATTTCATTTGTAAATACTTCTTCTAAAAATGTAGTCAATTAAGTTAGATAGCCTCTCTTCTAAACAGTCTCAAAAATGTGATTTATGTCTGTATACCTACCTATTTCAGTTTTGATTGAGGAATTCATTTAATTAAATTTAATTATATATAGAAGGTATGCTTCTATGCACCTATTATAAATTTTTGAAAAAATTAAAAAAAATCAAAATCTTTTTGCATGACTCAAGGAAAGAATAAGAAATTAGGAAAGAAGAAGGGATAAAAGAAAACAATCGACCCATTAGCCAGAAAGGAATGGTTTGAATTAACAGCACCTGTTCCCTTCAGCGCTGGTGGATTTGGCTATACTTGTATCAATAAATCTGCAGGAACAGGTAGTTATTGATAATAAAGCTTTTAGTCGTTGCCACAGAAGCCATTAAAGGACGTGTAGTAGAGGCATCCTTGGCTGATCTTCAAGGATAATCAGATCAAATGGCATGGAGAAAAGTCAAATTAGTTATTGATGATGTTGAGGGCACAAGATGCAGAACTTCTTTCTATGGACTTGATTCAACAAAGGATAAGATCTTTGGAATGATTAAAAAGCGATAAACTTTGATTGAGGTAATTTAAATTCATAATTTTTAATTAGACTTAAGTTGAAGCCAGATCATCAGATGGATATATTTTGAGAATCTTTGTCATTGCATTCACCAAGAGCATTAAAAATCAATAAAGAAAAACAACTTATGCTTAAAGAAGTCAAATCAAAGATATCAGAAAGAAGATTGTTGAGATAGTTCTCAAAGAAGTCTCCAAGAAAAGCATCACTTAATTACTTAATTTCTTCAATCAAGAAACTCTTTCAAAAGAAATTGGAAAGGCAACAAGATCCATCTTCCCACTCTAAAACATTACCTTAAGAAAAGTGAAGTTGGTAAAAAGACCCAAAGTTGATGGTAATTATGTAGATTTAAATTGTTAGCTCAAAAATTGAGAGAATTCTATGATGATTCCCAAAGATCCAAGGGTACAATCAGAAGACACGGTTAAGCTGAAGACTAAAGTGCTTTAAATCTTATCAAATAAGGATAAATCGAAAAGGAAGAAACCCAAAAATAAGAATGATGAATTTATTACAGTATAAACAAAATAGTACATATATTAATATTGGAAAGATTAAAACACAATATATATATATATTGCATTTAATATCTTCATCGATAGTTTATTTCAAATATAAAGATTTTTTTTTAATTTAATTTGAGGAAATAAGATGTCTTAATAGGCTTAAAAAGGAGGAAAAGGAGCATAGACAAAAACTGATGCAAAGCCATAAACAGCTACTTAAGCAAAAGTTGCTAAACCATAGGAGACAAAGGAGAATGTTATGAGAAAAATAAGAATTGAAAAATTAATGGTTCATATTTGTGCTGGTGAATCAGGCGACAAATTGACTAAAGCAGCTAAAGTCTTGGAAGATCTTACAGGATAAAAACCTGTTTTTGGCAAAGCAAGATATACAGTGAGATCATTCGGTATTAGAAGAAACGAAAAAATTTCTGTCTTTTGCACCATTAGAGGAGATTAAGCTAGAGACATTCTTGTTAGAGGTTTAAGAGTGAAAGAAATGGAATTGAAGAAGAGAAACTTTTCTGATTCAGGAAACTTTGGTTTTGGTATTCAAGAACATATTGATTTGGGATTGAAATATGATCCATACACAGGTAACAAATTCATCTAATAATAAAAGGTATTTTCGGTATGGACTTCTATGTTGTGTTGTCAAGACCAGGATTGAGAGTTGCTTAAAGAAAATCAAGAAATTCAAGATTGGGTACACAATAAAGAGTGACTAAAAAAGAGGCTGTAGAATGGTTCAAATAAACCTTTGAAGGAAACGTCTATTGATACAATACAATATTACATTAAATACACATATAAAAATATAATTTTTATTTTAATATGGGTTGTGGATCATCGTAACCAGCAGCTGAACCTGATAAAATATCCAAATCTTTGAAAAGTGCCAGTACATCAGAAATAGAAGACTTGATTGGCAAAAAAATACCAAAAGTATATTGTAGATAAAATAGATAAGTTACTAATATAATCAGAAATGAAACATCGATTTACAGCTGATGAAGACGCAATAAAAAAGTAACCATATTAAATAAAAACATTAGTGATTTAATTTAAATGCAATCTCCATAGGAAAATGAGAATGTTGTTGCAAGAGCTTAAAAAAAGATATAAAAAAAATATAGAGGAGGAGAGGATGTAGAAGGTTAGATTATTGAAAATGTGAAAAGAGTTGAAAGAGAAATGCAATGTATAAAAAATTTATAACTTTAATTTTTTAGAAAGTGATGTGGATTTAATAATAAAAAGTTTTAAAAGCCATTTTGTATTTTTTAGTCTTCCTTAAGATTCATTATAAAAATTAATAGATAAGATGTTTTATTGTACAATAAAAGCAGGAGAATATGTTTTTGAATAAGGAAATTAGGTTAATATAATAATTTGATTTAGTAGGCTAGTGCATATTTTGTTATTGAAAGAGGATAGGTTTAAATTATAATTAATGAGAATCCTATAAGAGTACTTCAATAAGGGGATTAATTTGGTGAAATTGCATTACTCTATAATGCCACTAGATCTGCCTCAACAAAAGCACTTACAAATTGTGGATTTTGGTCTTTAGAAAGAGCTACTTTTAGAAAGACAATTGAAGAAATTACTTTAAAAGAATATGATGAAAACAGAAAGTTTATAGATTAAGTATTTATTGACAAATTTATTAGGTTAATTTCTTTTCTTTTATGACATCTGAATAAAGAGATATGATAGGACATGCTTTGATTACTACCAAATTCAATCCTGGGTAGAATATTGTAAATGAAGGAGATTAAGCAGATTCATTTTATGTTATAAAAACTGGATAGGTATAAATATTGAAAGGAGACAAATTAATTAGAAAAATGGGTGCAAAAGATAGCTTTGGGTAAATATAATAATATAATCTATTTTTAGTGAATAAGCTCTATATGAGAAATCAGTTAGAGGGGCTACAGTTAAGGCAGAAACAGAAGTTAGATGTGTGGCATTGGGTAGAGAGAATTTAAGTAAAATATTGGGTGATAAAATATAATTGATAATTTTCAATAATATAATGAGATGGAGTTTTGAAAAAAGTGAGATACTAAAATAATTAACAAAAATTTAATTAGAAAAAATCTCTTAAAAGGCAAAAATTGAAAATTTTAAAAAAGGTTAAGTAATCTTTGAAGCTAATAAACCTTGTGATAGATTAGTTGTAGTTTTGGAAGGTGTATTGATAAATTCCAAATAAGAATCAATTAGTAAAGGTTCTTGTTTTGGTGATCAATTTTTATAAAAGGAACTCTATGGTTCCCTTCTTGAATGTGCTTTTACTATGGTAGGAGATGGAGTATTAGCAACAATTACCTATTAAGCTTTATTTAAGATATTTGGAGGAGACTTAGAAACTGCTTTGAAAAAAAATGAAAATTCTCATGAAAAGAAAATATAATAGATTGGTAAGAGGGAAGATGCTTCACATATTGTTGTAGAAGATTTAATTTATATAAAGAAATTAGGAGAAGGACAATTTGGAAGTGTATATTTGGTAAAACACAAAGAAATAAATAAGGTTTTTGCTTTAAAAAGTGTAAGTAAAGCATCAATAATTGAATAAAATTTAGAGAAACATATCACACAAGAGAAAACAGTATTAGAATAGATAAATTTTCCATTTATTATGGGTTTTGTCAGAACATTCAAAGATGATATGTCTATTTATTTTTTGGTTGACTTCATTAGAGGAATGGAATTATTTGATGTAATAAGAGATATAGGATTGTTATCAAAGCCAGAAACATAATTTTATATTGGTACAATGATTCTTTGTATAGAATACTTACATTCTAAGAGTATTGTATACAGAGATTTGAAACCAGAAAATATTATGGTAAATGCTCAGGGATTTATGTATTTAATTGATTTGGGAACTGCTAAACCTCTATTAAAAATAAAAGCATGCCGAACATATACAATTATTGGGACTCCACATTATATGGCTCCTGAGATAATTGCAGGAAAAGGTTATACTTTTAATGTTGATTTATGGAGTATTGGAATTTGTATGTATGAATTCATGTGTGGAGGAGTACCTTTTGGTGAAGAATTAGATGATCCATATTAAATATATGAAGAAATTATGAATACTTAGATTAAATATCCAACATTCCTTAAAGATAGATATGCCAAGAAATTTATGGAGTAATTAATGAGCAGATAACCAGAAACTAGATTAGGAGCATCTTATTCAGCATTGAAAGCTCATTAATGGTTTGATGACTTTGATTTCGATAAATTGTTTAGTAGAGAACTAAAGCCTCCAGTATTTTGTTTAATAATGCTTTTAGTATTTGCCTAAGGCAGAAAATATGGTATCAGAACATGATATTTAAAAGAGATTCAATTAGAAAAAATTGGTTGTTCATGAAATTAAACATGAATAAGATACTCACAAAATCAAATATAATAAGCATCTTGCTAAAGATCCTAATTGGGATAAAGACTTTTGAATAAATATAGATCTATCAATTTATGAATACTTATTCTTTCTTACATCTACTAAATGACTTATATTTCAAAATAATAACATTTCATATTTTTATTATTTTTATTAAATGTCATTATTATCAAAATTTACATCCATCTTTGGTTCTAATTATAATACATAGACCTCCGATACTCCCTTAAATTAATAACTATAAGAAGTGCTTTCATAAATACTAAAGACAAATACTAAAATAGATTTAAAGCAAAAGGCAGAGCTTCTAGCCTAATTTCTATTGGAAAAAGAAGGTAAATTGCAACTTTTACTATTTTAGAACATATTGATTATTTGTTCTCTTTTTTACAAACTACATCTAAAGATCTCAATTCATTATCAGTTGTTCATTTACTATTAGTAATCCATTAATAATTTTAATACAATGAATTAATTTAAGATGTTGCTATAAAATTAAGAGAAACTAAAATGCCATGGATTCAATTAGAAAAACATGAATGGCAATCTACAAAAACAGAACCTGATTTACCAAAGAAATAGCAATCTTAAATCATACTTACTGAATTTGAAGACTCATCTCGTCCAGCAGCTATATATGCTTAATTATGTTATGTTTATTTATAAAGATTGGCAGCCAATATTGATTTATATAGAGCTGTTTCAAAATTTATGTATCCATATGTTAGTGATAAAGATTAAATAGAACCTAAACTTATGTTTTTATGGCATTATAAAATTTAAAACTTAATAAATTCAGGCTTAATATTATTGTAATATGATTAAGATCTAGTAGAAATACAAACTGCTCTTTATTAAGATGTCTGGAAATTTTAAGAATTTATATGCACTGAAATTGAAAAAATTATTGATTAATATGTGACACTTCCAAGTAGTGATACTCTATCTCTTTATGAAATATATTAAGAAAGTACAAAACATTATGAAATTCTCTTAAAATTTCATTAATTTACATCAACAACAACTGCAGCTCCTCGTGAATGTCATTTTAATAATGTTAATTTATAGGAATTTTTGGGTTTTGTTTCTAAATTAAAATTATTGAATTTGCCTAACTTTAAAAAGAAAATTAAAGTTCCTAATAAAGGTGATCCAGGAATGGGTGTTCCAACTAGAAATCCTAAAGTAAAATTCTTATTTATAATTAGATCAGACATTTACAACATTAAAGTAATCAATTCCTTGTAAATGATACAGACAGTAGTGATTCTGACAATGTTACAGATATAAATCCATAAATAATCTAAAAAATCAAGAATAAAACAGTCCATTTAAGGGGAGAAAGTACTTTTCAATAAAAATATAAATGATGATCGATAAATCGTAATTTTAATTTATAAATTAAAAGTACTTATAATTTTAATTAATTTTCATTATGGCTCTCAAAATAAACCCTATTTATATAGAAGAGTTTCTAAATAGGATTAAGTAAAGAAACATCTTTTAAATCAATAGATTAATGGATATTGAAAGTTCATTCATTATTGGATAAAAAATATAGGTCTATGAAAATGGACTTTATTTGATTGGATAAAATATATTCAATTTGAATATAATAACCGCGAATATATTGGCGCGTGTTTATTATATTAAAATTAATGGATATTGCTCTATGTTAAAATCCCAATCACGATAGTTAAAGACTAAAATATATATGTGTAGATCCCAATTGTAGTATTCCTAAAAAAATAGGTAATTATTAAATTTATTTAGGTTGTGCTGATTGTTTTCTTGATGATCATATAACACATATTAGAAAAACAACAATATAATTTAAGGAGCAAATATGTTAATCTATTGAAACTATTTCTTAAGTTGAATTCACAAAAGTGAATAGTTCTCCTTAAAAGGATTTGGATAGTCAAATAGATTATGAATTAGAAAATTGCATTGATAGCATTAAATCAAGATTTTTATCTATTAAAGGTGATTTAAAGTCTTAGATTGATAGTGATATGTTAAAAGTACAAGATAATTGTACTTAATTTCAATAAAATATGAATAATGAATTAAATCCATTCAAATTCACTATTTAAAATGAATTGCCTACTTTGAATCATAATGAACTAAATTAATTAGTTAAATTTTATTAAGAGGCTCCTAAAATTCACAAACATTATTCAAAAGCTACTGAACTTCTATAAGATGAAAAATAAAAAGTTAAATAAAAAAAATAAAAATATTTAAATAAAATGAGAAGTATAATGCAATTATTACTAAAGGAATTTAATGATTTAATGACAACTAAAAATGTATAATTTGATGATTGTAGTGAATATGAAACTCCATAAAAATAAATAATGTCTCCTAATAAAATGATAAATCTTGTAGAAACTGCACGTTCTACAAGAAGATTTCCTATATCATAATCTTAAAAAAAATATTTCTTATCTGCTGTATCAAAAAAATTAGATTGATTAATTCATTTGTTATATTTATATATATATATATTTAATTTCATTTATTTTATGCTTTTTTATAATCCTCTTTACATCCAAAAATAATTTTTTTATAATCATTCAAATATAAAGAAATTATTTTTAATTTTTACATAGCTTATTAACTTTTTACTTCATAATTATCTTCTTCTTCTTCTTTCTCTTCATCTTTATTTTATTATTTTTTATTATCTTCCTTTTTTAACTTTTTTTCATCCTTTTTATTATTTTCTTATTTTGTTTCTTCCAATTCATGTTTAATCTTTTATGTTCCTTCTTAACATCGATTAAATAGATTATCAATGGCCATTAAAATTCTTCCTAAACTTAAATTTTTTGATGATGCTTCATTTGCTGATGCTTCTACTATTTATTATAATTAATTTCTTTCTGATATTTTTTCTTCTAATTTCTTTTATAATTCCTTAATATCATTATTTAATTGTAAAATTTCATGATTTTTATCCTTTTCATATTAAGTTGATTCATATTTTAATTTTTCATATTCTTTTTCCATAGATGAATGTTCCTCAACCAATTTTGTATTTTAACTTGATAATGTACTATGTCTTTCTAAAATTGATGACATATCATGATATTACTCTGGATATTGTTTTGCTACACTATCTAAATATTCTTCATATTTTTTCATTGAGGTAACTGTTTTGATATAAACGTACACATACCCTTCTTTTCAAGTCTCTATTATTTCTTTGTTAAATCCTATAATAGACCATTCAATTCTTATATTTCTTTTTCCTTTTACTATTTTTATCGTTTCTCTTCTTCAAGCCTGCCCTCTGCTCTTTTTTTTTTTGCCTCATTATCTTATAAAAACTTGCAAAACTTGATCAAAGATTCTTGTATTTCCATGTCTTTCGAACGAATCTTCTCTTCCTCTTGTTTAAACTTGTCTTCTTATCTATATCCTATTTGTAATAATCACTTTTTAAATTCTTCTCTCTACGCTTCGAAAGCCTCATGAACTTCATACATTTTCCTTCTTTTTTCTAACAATTTAGTTGCAGGACTAACAGTATCATATTACAAATGGTTAGGCAATTTTCTCTTGTCCTATTTATTCATTAAAATAATAATAATAATATATTAAGTAAATTCAGTTCTCTTTATTTATTGAATTCTAAGTATTCGTTAATTTGATTTGATGACAGATTTCAAATTTAATCATAAGTATTTTAAGAGTAATACAAAAATAACATATTTTTATTTTATTAAATGTTAATTTATAAGAAAGCAACTCCATAGGGTATATGATATTATGAATTATTTTTAGAACTATAAAAATATAGGGATGATCAAGTAAATAACTGGAAAAAGGAGAAGGATTTACAAAGATTATCAGAAAGCTAAGTCAACTAAATGTTAGATTTATTTCTTTTATTTGCAAATCAACGTACATTTACAATAAGAGTATAATTTTAAATGATTTGAAGACTAAAGATGTTGAAGCTTAAAATACTCTCTTGAGAGTTAATGAAGAGTCCACTCTATTTTAAAATGTTTTATCAAAAATGATTCTTATAGATGAAGATTTAAATTTTATCAATTTCTTGAAGCTCTATTTATAAAGCATTGTATATATAATGGCAAATCTATATAGGGGGAAGCACAATAAGAGGAATAATTAAAACAATTATTTACAACATTAACTGCAAAAGGGACAATCACTTTAGAAGACTTAAAGAAACTAGCTTAAGAGTTGGATCACTATCATCTTAAAGAGGAAGACTTAAATGAAATTATGAAAGGGATATCTGCCAATGGATAAGAAATTACATAGGAAGATTTTATAAGATTTTATACACAGTTAGTGAAAAGTTAAAGATAATTATGATAAAAATTATATATAGGTTTAGTACATAATAAATTAACTATTACACTATTCTTGAACTCAATGCAACATGCACCTAGAAATAGATCAAATAAAACTATCTGAAATTGGCAAAAATCTATCATCCTGATATTTATAAGGGAAATGATACCAATAGGTAAGATTTAATAATCATTTTTAGATTCAAGCTCATTTAGGAAGCTTATAATACACTTAAAACTCCAGAAAAAAGACAATCATATGATCAAACAATTTTTAAGGAAAGAGCATTTGCAAATTAAGAAAGATCTGAAAGTAGTGAATCTGAAGAAACTACATAGAAGAATGAATACACAGCAAAACAAACTAAAGATGGAATTAATTTTACATTCACAAAAAAGGAATATAAGGAAGCAACTGAAGAAAAGACTGTTGAAGAAGAGTTTAGAAAATTTATGTAGGAACCTTTAAAAATTAATCCAGAAGAAGTCAAAGTTTATGAAAATGTTGTTGCTAGACAAATGACAAAAGAACATAAGGCTTAAGATGAATTCATTATTGCTAAAGAGAATAAATGGAAGATTTTCTTTTTTTAAGCACATTAAATTGGGTATGCCTAATAAGTTAAGGAATATATTAAAGGTATAAATTAATAGTGGGAATAAAAAAAGAATGATACTGAAGAGATGAGATAATTAAAAAGATAAATGTAAAAGCGTATTGCTAATGTAATATTATTTATATTATTATTTTTAGACTATTTTCTTCATTTTTATTGGACTTTCTTTACCATTCTTTTATTCAGCTTTAGCAAGAAGATAAGAAATAGATAAAGATTTTAAAGAAGATTTAGATTTTCTTTATAAAGTAGCAGATCAAATGGATTATTTAGAAATATCAACTAGGTTTGTCTATTGAGATAAAATTTTAATTATATATAATAAGAAAAAAAGATATTAATTAAATTAATTTTTTTAGAAAAAATGTCTAATTAAGTGAATTTCGGAGAAGGTAAAATTAATGATAATTACCCATCTGCTATAAAGACAATGTTGGAATAAGGAAAAGATCCAAAAGATTTATTAATTTAATATTGCAGACCATAATGTAAATGGTATGATGATAAATACGACAGATGTGTAAAAGCATTCTTATCATTGAAAAATGCTGATCCTGAGAAGAATTGTGTACATTAAACTTATATTCTCTAAATAGATGTATCCATATAGAGATTTGGTGACATGTGTTGAAGCATGTGTTTAACCTAAAATTTAGCATGCACTCAAAGGCAATGAACACGGTTTCATATTCCATTGAAATAATATGATCTATAATAAACATAAACCATTATTAAAAATCTCATAACATCTAAAGTTTTGGATTCAATTATGAATTAAGGTTATTGTATATTTTTAAATTAAAGTAATATGATATATCCATTTAAGTAATAAGAATAGAAAGAATTAAATAAATTATGATAATTTCTAGAATACTTAATAATTTAAAGTAAATATAGTTTTATATTTGAATCGATTTTGGAATTTAATAATCACATTATCGAAACAATTAATATAAACACAACTTATGAAATTGCCAATCCAATTACAACATTCTTGAAATAGATAAAAAATGTCATAGCCATTTAAAGATATTTAAGAATACTTAGAATAAATTAATTGCTTCCTACTAATTATCTTAATGTTGATGATAATTCATCATTATTCACTAAATAATAAATATAAAACAATTACATTTCTTATCTAATTTCTTAGTTTATTAATAATGAATGATAAGTAAAATCATCTAAGCAGTAATCCATATTTATCCTAGTTATGGTTTTGAACCTACATATATAATATAATTATACCTAACAATTAAAACAATGCTGTAATGACAGACACCAATATTGCAACATAAATAGTTCCTTTATTATATTAAGATTATTTAATTTTGATTTATTAGATTAGTTTATATTGACTTTCTTATGTCTCTGTTTATTCCATTTATTAAGCTTCTTTTAAATCTTAATCACTCATTCTTGACTCAATTTTCTATCTACGTCTTTCTGAAATTTAATCCATCAAAATTTATTTAATTAATAAACAATGTCATCTAAAAACTATAAATTGTTTCATTAGATAATTCCAAATACTACACGTTATAGAGATGATCAATTACCAATCAATAATAATTATTTTGTTCGCTTAACATAAGATTCTACTAGAGTTCTAGATTTAATTGAAAAAGATAAATAAATCCCACATAAATCTATGATTGATCGATTTTGGGGACATAAAACATAAAGATTACCTCAACCTGTATATGAAGAAGAAAAACAAGTTTAAATACCATAAGAAATTATTCCTTAAGAGGACAAGAAAGAAATTTTGCCTTTAATCAAATAAAAAACTGAACCCTAATTGAAGAAAATCATGAGCTCAAAATAATTTAAGGAAAGTTTACTATTTGATGAAAGAACTAGTTCTATACCTAAAACAACCATTTAAAATCATATAATTGAAGATTTAATAAGAGATAGTGATATATTTTTAAAGAAACCTGAAATAATAAAGTAAGTACAAAGTTTGAAGAGATTAAAAGTACTCAAAAAATATGAAGCTAATCAGTAAATTTTAATTTCTCATTTAGTTCAAATCTTCCAGGTGTAGGGAAATTACCATATATAATTAACGATTATCATTCAAAAAGTACCAATCCAGGATATTCAAGAAATAATAAAGGAAACTTTTTTACAAGATGAAACCAATATTAAATTATATTTAAATTAAAATATATATGAGTCGATCCTCAACATCAACTTCTAGTAATTCTAGAAGCTCTAGATCACGTTATGGTAAAGAAGTTAAAGAGTTGTAAGATGCTTTAAATTAAAATAAAATTGAATCAAAGAGAGATGCAATTAGAAAAGTAAAAAATTTAATTTAAAATTTATAGATTATTGATGCTATGACTAGAGGTAAAGATGTTAGTATGCTCTTTCCTGATGTTGCAAAAAATATGGAAACTGCAAATTTAGAACTTAAAAAATTAGTCTATTTGTATATCATCAATTATGCAAAAATCATGCCTGATCTTGCTATTATGGCTATTAATAGTTTTAGAAAAGATGCCAGAGATAAAACTAATCCATTTTTAAGAGCATTAGCTATTAGAACTATGGGATGTATTAGAGTTAAGTAAATTACAGAATATTTATTGGATCCATTAAAAGAATCTATAAAAGTAAATAATTTTCATATTTTTTTATAGGATGAAGATTCCTATGTCAGAAAAACTGCTGCAATTTGCATTTCAAAATTATTTGATGTTTCTCCAGAATTAATAGAAGAATAAGGACTTTTGAAACTATTAGAAAATTTACTTAATGATGGTAATGCTATGGTTGTTGCAAATGCTGTATGCGCTTTACTAATTGTCTAAGAATCTAAAGGAACTACAATGCTCCAATTAAATGCATTGACAATATAAAAAATATTGACAGCTATGAATGAATGTAATGAATGGGGTGTTATTTATTGTCTTGATGCTTTAGCACTCTATATTCCAGAGGATGGAAAAGAAGCAGAAGCGTAATACAAATATCTAATATTAATAGAATCTTGGAAAGAGTAAGTCCAAGATTGAATCATAATAATCCAGGAGTTGTTTTATCAGCTTGTAAAATTATGATGAAATTTCTTGATTATCTTTAAAATCCAGAAATCATTAGATAAAATGCTCTTAAAATGACTGCTCCATTAATTTCTTTACTTAGTTTAGGCAAAGAACCAGAAATTTAATATGTGGCTCTTAAAAATATTAATTTAATCATTTAAAAGAGGCCTATTATTATTGAAAAAGAAATTAAAGTATTCTTTTGCAATTTTAATGATCCCATTTATATAAAATTATAGAAACTTGAAGTTTTATCAAAAATAGCTAATTAAGATAATATTCAATAAATTCTACATGAACTAAAAGAATATACACAAGAAGTAGATGTAGAATTTGTTAGAAAATCAGTTAGAACAATAGGTAGATGTGCAATTAAATTGGAAAAGGCTGCAGAAAAATGTGTTACTGCTTTATGGGAGTGTTTAAAAACTAAGGTGAATTATGTTGTGATGGAATGTATCATTGTTATTAGAGATATATTCAGGAAATATCCACGCAAATATGAAATGATATTAAAAGATCTATGTGATAATCTAAAAAGCTTAGAGGATCCAGAGGCAAAAGCATCTATGATATGGATCATTGGTGAATATGTAGATACTATTGAAAATGCTGATGATTTATTGTCTAATTTTATTGAGAAGTAAATTAAAAATTTAATTATTTAGTTTCAAAGATGAACCAGCTAATGTATAAAATTAAATATTGGTTGCAGTTATGAAATTGTTTTTATAAAGACCAGTCGATGGAAAAGAAATAATTCATAATTTATTAAAGGTTGCTACTATGGAATGTGAAAATCCTGATGTGAGAGATAGAGCATATATTTATTGGAGAATGCTATCTACTGATCCAGAATTAGCAAAAAAGATTGTATTCTCAGAAAGACCTACTATTTCTGATGCTAGTTATACACTTGAAAATGAACTCTTAGATAAATTGATTGAAAATATTGGAAATCTAAGTTCAGTTTATACAAAAAAGCCAGAAAGCTTTGTTAAAAAATTAAGAGATGTGTTAAATTCAAAAATGTAAGATAAAGCAGAAGAAGTATATGATGATGAATAACTAATGTATGGAAAACCAGAAGATTAGAGTGATTAATAAGCAGGTCCGTAATCTAATATCTATGAAGGAAATTATGAAACCTCATCATAAATATCATAATAAACTAATACATAATCATAAATTTAATAAGTTTAATAAAAAGTAGATTTATTGGATTTAGATGATTCATAACCATAATAATAATAATAATAATAATAATAATAATAATAATAATAATAATAATAATAATAATAATAATAATAATTAAATATTAAAATACCATTTTCTGAAGTTCTTAATTCCAATACTCCAGGAGCATAAAGTAAAATAGTTGGACTTTAAATTGAAGCCGCTTTCTAAAAAAATGGAGATAAGATTATTCTATAATTAAAATTTTCCAATAAAACCTAAGATAAATCATTTTAAGTATTCAAAAAAAGATATTTAGGAATTTGGAATTAAATTTAACAATAATCCATTTAAACTATAACCTGATTCTATTGATATTTCTAGTCCTCCTATCTCACCAGGATAAAGCTTGATTACTTAAATCTTTATAAACACTAATGGATCTGTTTGTTAAGATGCTCCTTAAATGCCTTATAGGATATAGGTTGCACTAAAAACTAATTTAGATGTGTTTTATTTTTTTATTCCTATGTCACTCAGTGTGTTATTTGTACTTTATTCCTAGTAATATAGAGCACAAATGGTTAAATTACTTAGCAAAAATTTGTTGAATTGAGTTCAATTTAAAATTGTGCAAGAAAAACAGAAGTTCTTTAATTATAAATAGATTATCAATAAGTAACTAAGTATTATTATTATTAGATGAGAGAAAAGTTAGAGAGAAATTATTTATATTTAGTTGGAATAAGGAAAGATGAAAAAGGAGTGGAATTATTATCATACTCTATTGGATTAGTTAATGGCATGGCAATCTTAATTAATGTCATTCATATTCCGAATGCCATAAATTTATAAATATAAGCTCCTCATCCAACATTAATTCCATTAATATATTAAGCTATAGGGTTTATTTTAACAATAAATTGATACAAATATAAAATCATATTAATTTCGATTATATTTTACATAATATTTAAGATTTTAGTTCTTCTCTTTCTAAAAAGTCTTTTTCCCATAAATCAAGTTATATTAATTCTTAAAAGTCACATCCCAAAACTGACAAATTAATAGATTTTAAATTTAATTAATTAATTTATTCAAATAGTTATTTGCATTTATTAAATTAACTATAATTGGCCATAATCTAATTCTTAAGATTGAATCGTTTTTGAAAGTCAGAATAATAATTTTAAATAAGTTTAAATTTGTGAATTTATGTTTGTAAAAATGGAATAATATCTCTAAAATTTGAATTTGCTAATTATTTAATTCTTTTAAAAAATTCAATTCTCTCTTAATAACTAATCATCCATTAATTAAATAATTAAATGATATCTTAAAGTAACATTTTAACTTAATGATATTCAGGATATTCTAATAAAAATATTAAATATCTTACCAACATAATCAACAATAAAATCATTCATAATGTTAATTTAAATTCCCAAATATTTTGTTTGAAGTCTTTAATCTTGTTCTTGATCTTCTGCAATTTTTTATCTTCGTTATTTCATTTATTTATTTTTTGTATTATCAAGATCATTTTCTTTAAATAGACTATTATAGCTCATAAATTGTTCTTTTTAAACTGGAATTTCATCATATTCTTTGATAATTGTATCTATTCTATTCATTTGTCTTTAATTATTTTCTTATTCCCAAAATTAAGGTTTTGATATTTCCACATTACCTTTTTATTATTTTATACCTTTCTCTAATTAATTTTCATATTATGTATGCTATTTTTTTTTTGGATTCTTTAAATTTTTTTAATTTTGTTATTCTTATTAATTTTTTCTTTAATTCTATTGCTACTTATGATTATTAAAATTAATTGAAGTTTATTATGATTCTTATGATTCCTCTTCAGTGATTTATTTATGTTAATAAATAGGATTTGTTTTTTGGTTATAAATTTGATCTTATTTTGAAAGTGGTATATTCATATATTTATCTTAGTTTAAGCTATCAAAGTTTTCTTACTAATTTTGTAATTTCTCTTTAGTTATTTAATCTTATAAGGCTAATTCTAATTATTAAGTAAGTTCTTAGATTTATTTTTGAAGTGATTTCATAATATCTTAATATTTTGTTTCTTGATCTTTTAATAATTGACTATGCTTTTTTTATTCATCTTATAATTTTTTAAGTTTAACATACTCAACTGATTTCAATCTTGCAATTTCACTCTTTTCTCTTTCTAATCTTTTTTTCTCTGCATCAACTCTTTGTTTCCATTCTAACTCAAAATCCTTTTACAACTGATTTTTTTCTTATTCAAGTCTTTTCTTATATTATAATTTGAGTTATTTTGATTTTTTTTAAACTTCTTCATTTATTTACCCTTCCAGCTCCTCCTATATTTTGAATCTTAATTATTGCTCTAATTAACCTCTTTGAAGTGAATCATCAAATTCACGTATTACATCTTATGCTAACTATTCCTTCTATTATTCATAGTCTATTCTAATTTGTTATTCCAATTCAGCTCTTAATTATTCTTCATTAAATTAGGTTAAGGAATCTATTTCTTATTGAAATTTATATTAATATTCAATTTGTAATTCTTAATTAACTTGTTCTCGTATCTCTTTTTCAATATCTGGAAGTAATTCACGTACTGTTTCTAAAATAATTTCGTTAGACATATTTAAAAAATATTATAAAATATTATGGAATTAAAGTCTAACTTTGGTGGGAAATCATCTTTGGATTAGGATAGATCTGCCATAGACAAGATTTAAAACGAATTGAAAATGATATTTTTCAAAGTCAATCAACAATTATTGAAAGAAGAAGAGCAATCAATTATTCTGAATTTACTAGCCATCATAATTCAGTTCTTTTAAGCTACCTACATTATCTTCAATAGACAAACATGGAAAGTTTGGTAAACATTTGAAGTAACTGAGTGGCTCAATAAAATATTTGGGTAATGTTAAATAAGCTAAAAAGATATTCGATGCTAGTTCCTTATTTTCAAATGTTATCATTTCCAGCCCTTGTTGTTATGATGTATGTATGCTTAGGTTTGGTAGTATTTGCATTTATGTTGATCTTCCTTCTAAGTTATAGATTGAAATCTGCATTTACTTGGCCAATATATATTTTAAGAATTTTGGTTCAAATGTTCTTATCAGTTTTTTATATGCCAATCATGGATCTTTTTTTTTCTTTGATTGCATGTACAACTGATGAAAATGGAAACACAATAAATTAAATTTTTATTGATATTACTTGTTGGCAAGGTGTTCATATAGTGCATGGTATTGTTTCAATTTTAGCAATTATTTTATTCTATCTATTTTGTATAACATTTGCCTTAATATATTATGAGCCAAGGTATCTACCTAAATAGCCATTATCTAAGAAATCTGGTAGAAATTTGGCTGTTTTCTTAACTTACGAATTAGTTATGATTATATGCTATACATTTATGGTTGGAAGATACTATGATTATCTATTCATTTTGATTATTTTGGTAGGAAGTTTTACTATTTTTTGGAAAATGCACATAGAAAATCCACATAATAATATATACATAGCTAAAATGTGGTCAATGCTTGTGTCGGTTAATATGTGGAGTGTCATACTATTATGTTTTGCTAAATTTTTAGAAGGTTAATTATTTTTTGGAACTATTTATGCATGGTTATCAGGTTTGCCCTTAATGATTGTTGCAGTTCTGAAAACAGAAAAATTGAATTATGATTTGCTTTTAACCAATCTTAATAAAGTAACAGATCCCCAGGAAGTACTTAATTTGACAGATCATTTAATTAAACTCTTTTACATTTAAGATTCAGATTCTTAATTGATGATTGATGGATTTTTAGAAATACATAGAGCTACTTGTGCAAGGGAAGATTGTTATTTAAAATAAAAAAAACTACCAAATTAAAGATTGGCTAAACCTTTCTTTAAAGATTAAAATCTTCAAGAAAGAGATGTTGATTTACTTATGGTTTTAGGTCAAATATACTTTAATTAGATCAAACGATTTCCTAATGAAATTGCTTTAAGACTCAGATATTCATTGTTTCTATTAGATCTTATGAAGTAGAGATAATAAGCATTAAATGAATTAATATAATCAGAAACATTATGTCCTAGTTTAGATAATGAATTTATAATATTTAGATATAAAAAAATAATTGAAGATGAAATGAATTAAGTATAAAATGAAAATTTAGGTAATTTAGATGTTGCAACAGAATTAGCATTTTAAAATCATATGAGATCATTTTAAAATAAAATTGAAAGAGCTACTCTTATGCATATGGATTTTTGGTCATAATTATAAGAAGATTCACCTGATTTAGGTAAAATGAATAATATTGGTGCTAAAATTAATTTAGCAATTATTTAAGTTGAAGAATTATGGAATAAAATGTAAAAAATGACATAAAATCTACCTAAAGCTATGAGATTATATGCTAAATTTATTTAAGAAGTATTATAAGATAAAGATTATGGAGAAGAATTATTAGAAAAAGCAAGACGACTATAATAATAGAATAGTAAAAACAAAAATAAATAAATGATTTCAATATTAAGCGGTGAAGATTTAAGTTAAGAGCCTAATGCTACAACATTGGTCTCAACAGCTGCAGAAAAATTTGCATAGATTATAAACTTAAATTTATCATGCTGCAATATGTTTGGATATAGTAAATCTGAAATGATCAATAGAAAAATTAACATTTTCATGCCAAATCTTTATTAAAAATTTCATGATTCATATGTTGAACACTTTCTTTAAACAAATGATAATAAAAATATTAACAAAGAAAGACTAATTTATATTAAACTAAAATCAAATTACATAGCCCCATGTTTTTTAATGTTGAAAATCATTTAATCTTTAGATGATAATTTATAATTAGCTGCTTAATTTAGATTACCTAAAATTTTCAAGCCCACTTGCTACATAATCTTAGATTCAGATGAAACAATTGATTCTATATCAGCCTCTTGCATTTCCATATTGAATATAGATTAAAAGATGATTTCACACAAAAAAATGTCATTAATCGACATTTTTCCAAAATTTGAAGAAAATAAAACTTAATATTTAACTAAAGGTGGAGGATTACTTTAATTTTCATCATATTAAACTTAATTTAGTAATTAAAACATAACAGAAGAGAAAGAACATGAATAAATAACATTTATGTGCTACATGACTGAAGTAATAAATTAATCAATTGATTAATTAGTTGGGTATATAATTAGATTAGAATAACAAGGTTAAGATTAAAGTATTAACTAAGAATTACTTGCAAATAATCATCCTTTAAAAAGTGGAAGCAGCTTATAATTCAAATTTAATCCTCAACGTTCTATGTATAGTGGAGAATTCGTAGCAGATACTAATTCTTAAAGAGTGGATTAGACTATATTGTGGGATTAGAATGATTAATCATCTATGATATCTTCTAATTAAATAGATGTTTTAAACACAGGAAATTTAAGATCATAAGTTAAAACTGATAAATCAGAAGAGTAAAATTTGAACAGTAAAATAAATTATGGAGAAGGAATTAAAATTTTGAGATTGTTTGAAAATAGAATTTAAGATATAGATGATAAAGATGATATGATGTCAGATGATGAAGAGTTAGGAAAAATTAGTGTATTTTAAAATAATATAGATCAAGCAATAGATAATGATTAATAAAGAAATGATTAGAATAATATTTTTAGATCAAGAAAGAATTTATTCTAAATTATTAATAGCAATTAAACACCAAAAGTAATTACTAAATTAGGTTGGACTGCCAATATTCTTGCATTAATCTTAATTGTACTTTCTTTTGTAGATTTCTTTATGATCTATGAATAATATGATGACATTTATAATACTATAATTTTAGTAAAAAATCAAAACTAAAGAAATGCTGAACTCTAAACAATAACAACTACTGTTCAAAATCTCTTAATGTTAAATTTAGATGTTTGGCAATTAAAAACAGATAATGATAAGGCAACATATGAAACAACATAAAAAATAAAATTAAATAATTCAATTACAAATGTTGACAATTTAAACAAAGAATTAATGCTCTCTAGTGTTACATTAAGCGATTCAATATTAAGTATGATGAGAACAGATATTGTCATAATGAAATCGAGTGATGGTAATGAATAATTATATGATTTATCTGAAGCAATATAATAAATAATCAGTAAATCTCTGATTATTAGAGATAAAAGCATAACAAATATTAATATGTATGATATAGATGTGAATTTTGTGCTTTATAATTCTCTTAATAGTTTGATCTATTAATTAAGATTATTTTCAACATTATATGCTAATGAATTGAGAGTCAAAACATAGAATAATGGATAAACTTTCTTAATAATTTTAGGGGTATCTACAGCTGCAATAGGACTAGGATTGATCATTATGATTATAGCAATGATATCTGTAAGCAAAAATTAAGAAGAAGTATTAGCTATGTTTTTAGATCTTCCAGAAAAAACAGTTAAATATTTATACAATAAAAGTGAGAACTTCATTTCTAATTTGTAAATGGGTGAAGATGATGAAATGATGTCAGAGATAGATGATATTGAAAAGGAAGAATAAGAAGAATTAAATAAGACTTTGAAAACCAAGAGAAAAAAGAAAAAGTTTAAAAATACAAATAAAGATTAAAGAAACTTTATTTTTGGTATATTTTTTGTTTTGTTAATCACATAAGGATATTTTGTGTTGAATTATATTTTAAGTCATACATTTCTAAGTAATCTTGATTAAATGATACCAGAAATAAATGCAACTGCTAGAGCTGAAAGTTTTTATAGATTTGTTGATATAGGAGAAAGAGCATTATTTTTAGATAGAAATTAAACAATAATGAATTAAGATGCTTATACAATGGTTAAAAATAATCTTAATGCTCTATATGTTTTAGATTCATCTATGCATCAAGAACATTCATTAAATGTTGAAATTACAAATCAAATATATCTTGATGCTTTTAAGGAAATTTTTATGTCTCAACCTTGTACAATATTAGCTACTATTATGTTTGAAGTTAATGAATAAGAATGTCAGACTTTTGCAGATGGAGCCATCTATTAAGGAATGGCAGTTGGGGTTGCTCGTTACTTTGAAAATTTAAGATATATCATGACCATATATGATTAATTTTGGAATAATTCTAAAGTTAATTTTACTCAACTTAGTCGTGGTTTTGCTACTTTTAAAAATATAACTAAGAACTCAGATAATACAACAAATTATGTTTTAAATCTTAATAATTTCAATCATACAAAAGAAGCAAGATAAATGTAAGATAATTATCACAGAGGAACTTTTCGTTATTTAATAAAAAAAATGATTGAAGGAATATATCAAGATATGGAAAGTAGTAAAACTTAGCTTCTTGCATTTTTCATTGTATTTGATGTTCTTTTGTTTGTTATTTATTTCATATTGTGGTTACCTTTAGTTGTTAAAATGACAAAAGATATTTGGAGAACTAGATCAATGATTATGATGATTCCTTTGAGAGTGATCTAAAATATAAGATCGATTAAGGCCTACATCAAAGATAATATATAAGTTAATGAGATAGATGTGTGATTTTATATATATCTAATATCTATATTATTTAAAAAAATGGAGGTAAAGTCTAATTATGGTCAAACAAGACCTCAATTAGAAAATGAAAACCTTTTAGCACGTTTGCAAATGGAACTGAAGAACATCATATTTCGAGTCTTCTTTTTGATGCTTAAAGATGAAGAGTAATCCATTACTGTTGCTGCTTTACTATAAACTATTATGTTTTTACAGTACTTGTCCTTCATATTTCATCGATAATTTTATTTAGTTTGGAAAAACGAAAGAGTCTCCTACTAATTATACAAACTATTTGGTTACTTTATGTTGACTCCTTACTTTGAAATGTTGGAGTTTTCTAGTTTTGCTTCAATGATGTATGCATTAATTGGAATTATACTAATTGCTATTATGATATTGTTGTTAGTAGGTTATAGTAATACAACCAAGTTAAATACAGCAGTATCATGGCCAGTTTTTGTATTAAAATAGTTATTGATACTGTTCTCAACAATATTTTACCTTCCTACACTTAATCTCTTTTTCGAAATGGTAAATTGTAAAGAAAATAATCATAATATTTTTGTACTTTAGGTATTTGATTAAGAATGTTGGAAGGGAGCACATATCGTACATGGAATTGTTGCAATTTTAGGAATTCTGATTTTCGTAATTTTCACTGCACTTTTTAACTTGTTATATTTTGAAGCAAGACCAAAAATAAAGGACTTATTGTCTAAATAATCAGGTAGAGCAAAAACTTTTGTGTACTTCTATTTATTAGCCATATAGATGTCAATTGTTATTTTTGATCCTAATGATGAAGCTTATATAATAATCTATATCATACTTGTGGGAGCTTTCATTTCTTTCTATAAATTGCATATTGAATAACCATATAATAATTATATGATGTAAAAAGTTGTCTCAATATATTCTACATTAATTTTTTGGAGTGCTTTGCTTCTTTGTTTCTCAAACTATTTAGAAGACAATATTTTTCATGGTACTATTTATGCATGGTTAGTTGGCTTACCCCTTTTGGCATTTGCAGTATTTAAAAAACAAAAATATCATTATGATTTATTACTTATGAATATCTAAAAAGTGGAAGATCCAAATCAAATTATTAAACTCATTAATTATATTTAAGCACTTTTAACAGGTTACTAATATAATTAACAATTTAATATAATGCTCAACGCACTTATTGAAGTACATAAAAATACATGTTAAATTGAAGAATGTGTATTTAAAAATAAAAAATAAATTAATTTAAGAATAAATTTATAAAAAGATGAAAATATATCTTAAAGAGATCATAATATATATCTTTTATTAGGAGAAATTTATACAAGAATGCTGAGAAAGCATTAGACACATGTAAGATTAAGAATTAATTATGCATTCTATTTATTAGATTACTTAAAATAAAGATAATAAGCATTAAATGAATTAATATAATCAGAAACATTATGTCCTAGTTTAGATAATGAATTTATAATATTTAGATATAAAAAAATAATTGAAGATGAAATGAATTAAGTATAAAATGAAAATTTAGGTAATTTAGATGTTGCAACAGAATTAGCATTTTAAAATCATATGAGATCATTTTAAAATAAAATTGAAAGAGCTACTCTTATGCATATGGATTTTTGGTCATAATTATAAGAAGATTCACCTGATTTAGGAAAAATGAATAATATTGGTGCTAAAATTAATTTAGCAATTATTTAAGTTGAAGAATTATGGAATAAAATGTAAAAAATGACATAAAATCTACCTAAAGCTATGAGATTATATGCTAAATTTATTTAAGAAGTATTATAAGATAAAGATTATGGAGAAGAATTATTAGAAAAAGCAAAATTTTTATAAATTTAAAATGGTAAAATGAAAAATAAATCTTAAATTTACATTTTTAATGTTGAAGATATCAATTTTGAATCACTTCCGACTTTGATTGTATCAGTACAAAATGATAAATTTGCTTAAATTAGCAACTTAAATCTGAGTGCATGTAACTTATTAGGGTATCATAAAAGTGAACTAATAAATAGAAGAGTTAATATGGTTATTCCAACAATTTATGCTAAGTTTCACGATTAATATATTGATAATTTTTTTGAGAAAAATGATGCTGCTAGAATATAAAAAGAGAAATTTGTTTACTTAAAATTAAAATCAGGATATATTCAGCCATGTTATTTATAATTAAAAATGTTGTAATCTGCTGAGGAGAATAGTTAATTAGTTGTTTAATTTAGAACTTTACGTAATTTCAAAAGTGCTTGTTATATAATATTAGATGCTGATGAGTCTATTGAAAGCTTATCTTCATCTTGTATTTGTAATATTTTCATAGATCATAAAGTGATTAGTCATAAAAAGATATTTATTTAAGAGATCTTCCCTAATTATAATAGGAATGATTATCTTAATAAAACTGGTTGTAAAATAATTTTAAATTTATAGACTTCTCTAATTTAAAATTCTAATTACTTACAATATTATATTAATGATCTAGAGGATTAAACATAAATAGAGTTTTAAATTCAGGTTATAGAAATTGAAAATGAAAAAATGGGATAAATTTATGGTTATGTTATAAAGTTAGAAAAAGTAGTTGATATTTAAAGTTAATAATTTACTCCAGAATTGTTGTAATAATTAGTTATTCCAAATTAAAGTAGTAATAGTTTTTAATTTAAATATTTTGCAAATAAAGCCTTATATGTAGGTGAGAATTAGGATGAAATCAATTCTGCTCGAGTTGACTAAACTGTCATATGGGAATATACATCTAGAACAAGTGAAGAAACATAAGAAGAAAAAAAAATAGTAATTGAAGAAAATAAAATAACAAGACCTAACTATGCAGATGGCATAAGGACTCTAAAATTGTTTGAGAACAGAATTTAAGATTTAGAAGATATAAAATTAGATTTTTCAGAATAAGAGGAAGAACAACACTCAAGTGTATTTTAAAGAAATTAAGATGGTCAAGATGAAAAAGATTATGGTTAATAAAATAATATTTTTCGTAATCGAAAAGCTTTAAATTTAGCCCTTAATAATTAATAAGTTCCAAAAATTATGGTATATTTGAGTTGGATGATAAATATTTTAGTTTTAAGTATTTTAAGTTTATCTTTTACTTCATATTTTTTGGGTTTGTTTTTATTTTAAAACATTTAAGATTCATTAAATTTATTAGCTTATGCCACAACAAGAAATTTAGAATGCAATTAGATTATTATGAATATTTAGAATTTATAAATGCTTAATCTTGGTATTTGGAATTTAACAGAAATTGAAGCTAAAAACTATGAAATTTAATAAAGAAGTGAATTGAATGAATCCATTTTAATATTAACATAAGCCAATAAATAATTAATGTTATCAGATATTTATATCAATGATTAAATTTAAGAGTTACATTCTTAGAGTGTTGTTAATGTTAGAATAACTAAAAATAGTTATTCTAAATATGATCTTATTGAAGCAACATAATAAATTATAAGTAAAGCTTTGTTAATTAGAGATAAGGAACTTTCTAAGATTAATAAAGAGGATGAAGATACAAGTTTTATTTTATATAACCTATTTAATGATATTGTCTTTCAATTAAGAAATGAGACTGGTCAATATTCATATGGATTATAAGATGTTGCATAAGATAATATTTAAAAATTTTTTATTATTTTAATAATAGCTGGTTGCTCATTTTTTATACTATTGATTTTTATTTTATTATTCTTAATGTAAATAAATTAAACTTAAGAATAAATACTTTAATTATTTATTGAAATACCTGAAAAAACTGTTAAATATTTGTATAACAAAAGTGAAAATTTTATATCTAATTTATAGATTGGTGAAGAAGAAGAAATATCATCAGAAGTAAGTGATGAAGAAAATGATGAAGCAAAAGAGTTAAATAGATCATTAAAATCAAAAAAAAGGAAAAAATTATTAAAAAATAAGAATTCATTTTTTCGTGTCTAATCATTATTAGCAATTCTTCTTGTATCTATATTTATAGGATATTTCTTATTAAATTACTTTCTTAATGAAGTTACCTATAGTAATTTAAATCAACAAATACCAGAATTAAACATAACAGCTAGATGTGGATCATTTTATAGATATGTAGATAATGCAGAAAGACAATTATTTTTAAGCAGAGAAGATCCTATTTTATTGTAAGATGCATATACTACAGTTATCAATAATTTGTAATAAAATTATGATTTGGATTCTTCTTTACATTAAGAACATGCTTAGAATTCTGAAATATGTAATCCAGATTATTATGAAACATTTGAAAAAATGTTTATGATGAATCCATGTAGCATTTTTATATCTCAAGGATATACAACTTTAGAATATTGTGAGACTTATGCAAGTGGTTCAGTTCAATAAGGAATGGCAGTAGTAATAGCAAGATTTTTTGAAAATGTAAGATATATAATGACAATATATGATGTGTTTTATGGTCATCCAGATGTTAATTTTACAGAAACAGCAAGAGGATGGGGAGTGTTTAGAAATATTACTTAGAATTCAGATAATGTAACAAATTACATTTATAATTTGAATAATTTTAAATAGGCATAAGAAGCTAGATAATTATAGAGTATCTTTATTAAAGGTATTTAAATAAATATTGATTTATAGGAGCATTTATTTATTTAGTAGATTAATATATTAAGGCATTGAAGGATGATATAAGTTTAACATAGACTTAATTATTGGCAACATTTATTGTATTTGAAGTGTTAATATTCTTAATGTATTTCATAGGATGGTATCCAGCATCTATTAGAATGACAAGAGATATTTGGAGAACAAAAGGATTAATAATGATGATACCTTTAAATGTAATATTAAAGATTAAATCAATAAAAGAAAAGGTTGGAAATTTGGTGCAAAATTCAGAATTGTGAAAATTTTATTTATTAATTTAACAATGGAACTTAAATCTAATTTTGGTACTACAAAAGGTTCTTTAGATTCTGAAAGGTCCATTATTGATAAAATGTAGACTGAACTAAAAGGAGTGTTCTTCCGTGTAATCTAGTTAATGTTAAAAGATGAAGATTAATCAATTCCTATTACTTGTATTGGGATATTGTTGTAATATATGCAGATCACATATATCATATTTAATAGATAGATTTGGAAAGTATGGCAAAATGAGATATTAACTAAACAGCTAAATAAAATCTTTGGGTAATTACTTTTCCTAAATTAGATATGTACTATTGACACCATATTTTGAAACAGTAAGTTTTTCTGGATTTGCAGCCATGATGTATATATGTTTGGGTCTGATCTTGTTTGCATTGATGCTTATCTTTTTATTAAGCTATAGTATCAATAAATCAAAGAGTTCATTCACTTGGCCAATTATACTTCTAAGGTTTTTGATAAGTATATTTTTACAAGCCTTGTACATGCCTATCATTGATTTGCTTCTATCTATGCTAGCATGCTAGACTAATCAAAATGGTGTACTCAAACATTAGCTTTTTGAAATAGAATGTTGGTCTAATATTCACATTGTACATGCAATAGTAGCAATTTTTGGAACAATACTATTTTTTGTACTCTGCACATTATTTTCTTTATTATACTTTGAATCAAGGTATTAACCACATGATGCTTCATCTAAATTCTCAGGAAGAGCAAATGCTATATTTTTGACTTACGAATTGATAATGGTTATTTGTTACACATTTATGAATGGTAAGAATTATGATTATTTAATCATATTAATAATGATGGTAGGAAGTTTCACAATTTTTTGGAAAATTCATGTTGAAGCTCCTTTCAATAATATGTATATTTAAAAAGCTTGGTCAATGTTGGTAGCTATGAATATGTGGGGTGCAACTTTATTGTGTTTTGCTAAATTCTTAGAAGGAGTCCTATTTTTTGGTACTGTTTATGCTTGGTTAGCAGGTTTGCCATTAATGCTAATTGCTATCATTAGAAGTGAAAAATTGCATTATGATTTACTATTACTGAATCTTAATAAAGTCTAAGATCCAGATTAAGTACTTAATTAAACAAATCATTTATTAAAATTATTTTATAAAAGTAAACAAAATTAAAATTACTCTTTGTTGTTAGATGGATTTTTAGAAATACACAAAGCTACATGTACAAGAGATGATTGTTATTTAAAATAAAAGAAATTAATTAATTAAAGATAACAAAAACCCCTATTTAAAGAAGGATCTATAACCGAAAGAGATGTTGATCTATTAATGGTACTGGGATAGATCTATTTTAATCAAATCAAGAAATTTCCAAATGAAATCAGTATCCGTATAAGATATTCATTTTTCTTACTTGATTATTTAAAATAGAGATAATAAGCATTAAATGAATTAATATAATCAGAAACATTATGTCCTAGTTTAGATAATGAATTTATAATATTTAGATATAAAAAAATAATTGAAGATGAAATGAATTAAGTATAAAATGAAAATTTAGGTAATTTAGATGTTGCAACAGAATTAGCATTTTAAAATCATATGAGATCATTTTAAAATAAAATTGAAAGAGCTACTCTTATGCATATGGATTTTTGGTCATAATTATAAGAAGATTCACCTGATTTAGGTAAAATGAATAATATTGGTGCTAAAATTAATTTAGCAATTATTTAAGTTGAAGAATTATGGAATAAAATGTAAAAAATGACTTAAAATCTACCTAAAGCTATGAGATTATATGCTAAATTTATTTAAGAAGTATTATAAGATAAAGATTATGGAGAAGAATTATTAGAAAGATCTAAAAATTTATAGACATAGAATAACAAAATGAAAAATAAATAAACAATATCTTTAATTAGCAGTGAGGATATTGGATATGAGTCATAACCTACTCTAATGGTATCTACAGCATAAGAAAAGTTTGCTTAGATTACAAATTTGAATTTGGCATGCTGCAATTTATTTGGTTATAATAAATCAGAGATGATTAATCGTAAGATTAATATATTTATGCCAAACTTGTATTCAAAATTTCATGATGCTCATATTGAAAATTTCTTATCATCAAATGATAATAGAAATATTAATAGGGAGAGATTAGTATATATAAAGATGAAATCTAATTATATCTTACCCTGTTACATTTACTTGAAAGTTCTTTAGTCAATAGATGATAATGTGTAATTAGCAGCTTAATTTCGAATACCAAAATCTTTTAAACCTTCATGCTATCTGATATTAGATAGTGAAGAAATTATAGATTCAATTTCATCCTCTTGTATTCCTTTACTGAACATTGATTCAAAATAGATTTCACATAAAAAAACACCAATCACAGATATATTACCAAATTATATGCGATTAAAGTAATTATTTTTATCAAAGGTTGGAGGTCCAATCGTTTTTAATCCTGCTACATAATCAGGGGTTAGCTATAGTTAATAGGCCTCTTAAGAATTAGAAGATTAAGATAAGAAAGATGATAATATGTAGTTTTAATGTTTTACTTATGAAGTAATGAATGAAAACTAAGATTAAGTTGTTGGATATATTGTTAAATTAGAGTAATAAGGGACAGATAATAGTATGAATTTAGAAGTCAATAATTTATAATAGAAAGTACTTGGTAATAGCATGTAATTTAAATATAATCCTTCAAAAGCTTAATATTTAGGTGAGTTTGTTGCTGATACAAATTCATAAAGAGTAGATTAGACTATTCTTTGGGATTAAAATGATCAATCATCAATGATTTCTTCAGTATAAGGGGGTGTTGAAATTCTTAAATCTTAAGTGAAAACAGAAAAATCAGATGAATAAAATATATTATAGCAAATTAAAATTAATTATGCAGATGGAATCAAGACTTTAAGATTATTTGAGAATCGTATCCAAGACATAGATGATCGAGAAGAAATGATATCAGAGGAAGATGATTAATAAGGGAAGAGTGTCTTTTAAAGATAGTAAGATTTAGATAATGATTAAGAAGGATAATAACAAGATTTTAATAATGTTTTTAGATCTAGAAAAAATTTATCACTTGTAGTAAATAGTCAAGTTACACCTCCTGTTATTATAAAATTAAGTTGGACTGCAAATATTTTAATACTTTTATTAGTAGCATTGAGTTTTGGAGATTTCTTTGTTTGTTAAGCATAATATGATGAAATATTTAATACAATTTTATTAGTAGAAGATACTAATTTAAGAAATGCTGAGTTGCTTACAATATTATCTTCAGTTCAAAATTTATAGATGTTGAATTTAAATATTTGGTAGTTAAATAGCAGTGCTGATATTAATGAATATGAATAAATAGAAAAATAAAAATTAAATAAATCTATATAGTAGGTTTCATTATTAAATAAAAATTTAATGTTGTCTGATATCTTTATAAGTAATGAATTAAATGAATTACAGAGTGAAAATGTTATAAAAATGAAATTTGGGAATGAATACTAAAATTATGATATAATGGAAGCTACTTAATAAATAGTAAGTAAAGCATTAAATGTAAGGGATAAAGATTTAAATCAAATTATTTATGAAGATAATGATGTTCAATTTATTATATTTAATCTCCTGAATGACCTAGTATTTTAATTAAGAAATTCTAGTGATTTATATGCTATAGGTTTAACTAACAAAACAACAGAAAAGAAAGAGACATTGTTAATAATCTTAGGTATATCAGCTGGAGCTTTGGGTTTGGGTTTGATGTTATTGACAATCATAACATTATCTGTCAATAAAACATAAGAAGAAATATTATCAATGTTCTTAGATATACCAGATAAGACAGTTAAGTATTTATATAACAAGAGCGAGAATTTCATATCAAATTTATAAATTGGAGAAGAAGATGAAGTATTATCAGAATTAGAAGAACTTGAAAAAGAGGAATAAGAAGAACTTAATAGAACATTAAAAAGTAAAAAGAAAAAGAAAAAGTTTAAAAATACTAATAAAGATTAACGCAACTATATTTTTGCATTCTTTTTAATTATCTTAATTTTACAAACTTATTTCATTTTTAACTATTTTATATCAGATATTCTTTTAAGTAATTTAGCTTAACTTGTACCAGAAATAAATGCAACTTGTAGAGCAGAAAGTTTTTATAGATTTGTTGATAATGCAGAAAGATCACTTTATCTTAATAGAAATATGACACTTTTAAATGAAGACTCCTACACAATTGTCAAATAAAACATTGATAAATTATATGCCTTAGATTCTTCTCTTCATTAAGAACACTCACTCAATGTAGATATTACTAATTCTATATATTCAGATGCTTTTAAGCAAATTTTTATGATTTAACCATCTACAATCTTATCTTAAGAAATGAATGAAATGACAGAGACTGAATGTTAAACTTTTGCTGATGGTGCTATGTATTAAGGAATGGCAGTTGGAGTAGCACGTTATTTCGAGAATATTCGATATATCATGACAATCTATGATTAATTTTGGGATAATCCAAAAGCCAATTTTACAGCTATTGCAAGAGGTTTCACAAAATTTAAAAATATTACTATGGATTCAGATAATGTTAGGAATAACATACTTAATCTAAATAACTTCAATTAATCTTTAGAAACAAGAGTTATTTAAGAAACTTACAATAGAGGTATTTTTATATATTTACTAAATTTAGGTACATTTAGGTATTTATTGTAGTAAATGCAATTAGCAATTGAAAATGACATTAATAGTGCAAAAGCTCAAAGATTGGCATTATTCATTGTATTAGAAGTCTTGCTTTTTATTATTTACTTCATTTTATGGTTACCATTAGTATTAAAGATGACAAGAGATATCTGGAGAACAAGGACAATGATAATGATGATTCCTTTGAGAGTAATACAACGTATTAGATCAATTAAGTAATTTATAAAAGAATTTTTACATGCTAAGGATCTTGATTCTTGATAAAATTATATCTATATTAATGCTAATTTTATAAATTAACAGAAAAAAAAAATGGATCAAAAATAAAAGATGTAACATCTAATGAACAATTTTATAAAGAAAGAATCAACAAAACAAAGTTAAGTGACAGTTAAGTTGTATGTGAATAATGAATTTTCCTAATAAATTTAATATCCAACTTGCAATTAGACTGTCAACTAATTAGTTAATTACTTAAGGAATTTACTAAATCAGACTTAGATTGTTGGATTTCAGAGTTTAGAAAGTAATATACATTTAGATTACTATTTAACAACTAATAAAGACTTAGGAATATTGAGCAATTAAACTCTCTCTTTAAAACCATTATATGGTATATATTAGAATACAATCACATTGGATTCATTTTATTTTTTATAATGTATTGGTATAGGTGGGTTTAGCAGAGTCTATTTAGTAAGATATAAGTTTAACGGCTAATTTATGGCATTGAAGATGATTTCAAAATAATTTATCGAGTAAAATGATAAATTTTAGATTGTTTAAAATGAAAGAGATATAATGGTACATCTAGCAAATAATAATAATTCACATCCAAATCTTTGTAAATTATTATGTGCTTTTGAAACTAAAAATTGGGTATGTTTTGCAATGGAATATTGTGCTGGTGGTGAATTATTCTAATAATTAAAGAGAGTTAAGAAAATGGATGAATAATAAGCAAAATTTTATTTTAGTTAAGTTTGTATAGCAATACATCATTTACATGAAAATAAGGTTATTTATAGAGATATTAAACCTGAAAATATTCTAATTGATTAAGAAGGTCATATTAAATTGGCTGATTTTGGATTAGCAAAACCTAATGTAGAAGATGATAAAATGGCATATTCTTTTTGTGGATCTCCAGAATATATGGCACCAGAGATGCTTTTAAAATTAGGACATAATTATTAGATTGATCATTATTGTTTAGGAGCACTTCTTTATGAATTATTGACAGGATTACCACCTTATTATTCAAATAATCCAGAATAAATATATTAAAACATTTTATAAAATGAATTACCATTGCCAAATAAGAATTTAAGTACAGAAGCCAAAGATTTAATATTTAAATTGTTATAAAAAGATATTTAAAATAGATTAGGAAGAAATTATGGTATCTATGAAATATTAAAACATCCATGGTTATAAGAATTTAGTTTATATAAATTGATTAATAGATCATATGATCCCCCATTTAAACCAGATCTATTCAAAATAAACTTTGATTAAAAAGAAATAATTAGTGGAGAAAATTAATTTTAAAAAGAATTACAAAAATCAATAAATTCAGAAACAGAAAATGTATTTACACCATTTTTTCATAATTTTTATTATTCATCCTTTTAATCTAAATAACCTTAGAGATCCTCTTCTATTACTTAAATAAATATCTCAAATGTTGATGAAAAATTTACTAATATTCTTTTAAGTACAACAAAATCTAAAAATGTTTCATAAACTCATTCATCATCTAGTCAATCTTAGTTAAAGAAAAAAAAACCAATATAAAATGATGTTGAAAATAAAGAAAATTTAATGAAGAATAATAATTAGATGATTATGAAAGTTGGTGTTAAGCATAAGAAAAATAATTAAAGTATGCCTGATAATGTTTTGAATGTTCAATAAAATGAATTGAGATCATATTCATCTTAAAAAGTAAATGAACAATTACAAAAACTTACTAATAATTATCAAACTAATTAATTGAAATCACCATCAACTGAAAATGATGAATAAAAATAATAAAAATTATTATTTGGTGAAAATAAAATAATAAGTAAAAATTAATCTAATTAATGTTCTCTTATTAGATATTTTAAATAATGAATTTTATTCACAATATATCAATAATTTCAATCTTATAAAAATTTTGAAAATTTAACATTTAAAAGTTATTTTCTCTCTCTTTCCTCTTTTCTATATAAAGTTTCATCTAATTAAGCATGTTCAATTCTATCCTCTTTTTCTGCATCAAATTCTATTTATTTATCACCCTATTTAACTGTTACTTATAATTTCACTTAAAATAATCTCTTATAAATTTCTGCCATTACTATTTCTATTTCATTTTTCACTTATTTTATAGCTCTACCTTCTTCTCCAATAACAATCCTTACTTATGATGATGTTTAAACATTAATTTAAATTTCAATCTTAGCAGATTCTTTACTTGTTACTCTAAATTCTTTCACATAAATACCTATAATGAATGGAATTTCATTATAAAATCTTTTAAATATAGCTTATCTAACTATTTATTCTAATTAATCCATTGGTGTAAATAGATGTTTCTAATTTTCATTATATTTCCATCTACATTAAAAACTTTGAGAATATAAATATTATTTTAATTCTTCCATTCCATATCCTGTTATAGAAGATATATAAAATGTCTAATCATATTTTCCTAAATCTTCCATTTCTGTTTATAACCATTTTAATTTCTTCTTATTAAAACATAAATCCATCTTATTAAAAACAAGAATTTTTGGAATAGGTTTCTCTTCTGACACTCTAAAATCATCTTCATTTCTAAAATAACTTCTTAATTATTCTTAATCTACTTTAATTTTATTTAATCTTGACATGACATTCTTCATACTAATATCTAATGTTTTAATAGCATCAATTAATATAATCACCATATTAGTGTCTTCAATAGCATCCCAAGCCTTTGTTACAAAATGCTTTGAAAATTTATAACGCTTGGTTACTCCTGGAGTATCAACAAGCTCAATTTAAACACCACTTTTGACATCTGTATGTACTCCTCTAATTTCTGATACTGTAGTATTACTTTTGTTTGATACAGCACTTATTGGTTCACCTATCATCTAATTTAAAAATGTTGATTTCCCTGAATTAGGAGGTCCAATAATAGAAATAGCTAAAAATTTTTATTCTTCAATAGCAACAGATGGTTTTTGTGCTAATGGTTTCAATAATATTTTATTTGAGACTTTTGTTCCCAATTCTGTAGTTTTAATTGCTTATTCATTGATAGTATATAGAGTAGCTGGTGTTTCATAATCTTCAAATAAAAATCGCTCTGGTTTTGTTGGGGACAGAATATCAATTTTTTTTGACAATGGATTAGTAGGATGCTGATAAGGTCTTAATGTTTTTGCATCTAATTTTTTAGGAGGAGCATACTTTTTCAGTTTTTGCAAATTAGACATACAATAACCACAAATTTTGATCATTATATTATATTTGAAAAAACAAAAAATAACAAAATTATATAAAATCTTCAATGCATCTTATTTCTTTTGAGGACCTTCATTAATTTGGGTTTTTCGACACTTCTCTCTGTTTTTAATTTCATTTAATACAAATCTAAGACGTTATCTTTTTTTGGCTAGCTTTTTGTACTTGTATTAAGCGTACTTCTATAGGAGTTTTGTGTTAACATATTAGAATCTTCATGTTTTGGAATAACTAATTTTCTATTTTAAAGCTGTTAATATGTTATCTTAATTTGATTCATTTTTTGATTAGTTTTAAATGAACTTTGTAAACTCTAACCTTAAGGTTTAGGTTTACTTAAGAGTTTATGAATTTACTAAAACAAATAATAATATTGGAAAGTACCTACTGCAGTTAATAGCTAATAGAGAATGGTTGTAAGACATTACTTAAATTAGCAGTATTGGATTGTTTCATTTTCAAATCTCCGGCAGATTTAATAATTTTCAATTGCTTCTTAACTAAGAAAGTTCACAAACTGAATTATATACCATCCTAAGATTTAGATCCATAAAATTATTTGCTAAGAGACTTGAAATAATCTTCATCATTGTCTTTAAAGAGTCTAGATTCTACAAGTTAAGAGTCCTCATTCTCAACCATGAAACTAAGAAATTATTCATCATTTTTCATTTGTTTTTTATTTATTTAATAAATGGATTTACAAGTTTAGAAACTTTAGCAAGAAATCACAGAGTATTATTCATAACATTATTTAATAGTCTTAAAGAATATGAGTAGATGCTTGAAGATTAAATAAAGGAACATGAAGAAACAATAGATAAATAAAAGTTAGATTTAAATACAAAGGAGACTGAGATCAAGAGTCTTAAAAAATAATTATAGGATGCAATCAAAAAGGCAGATGTCATAGTATTATATAAAAATCATTTAAGAATAATTCTGATGATGTGAGTGGAGCAAAAATAATCTAATTGGAGGTGGAGATTCATGATCTAAACTAATAATTACAAGAATCTGCTTAAAAAATTAAAGCACTTACTCAATAACTCAAGTATTCATTTTAATATAAATTAGTGCTAAAATTGAAGAGAATGAAATAGAGATTGAAATCCTTAAAGATGACCATCAAAAATCTTTGAGTGACTAGCAGATTTAAATTGAAGCATTATAAAAGACTATAAATGAATTACAACAGATTCAAAAAAATGGAGAAACACAATAATCTCAAGAAATTGCTCCAACCAAATTAAAGTAAGTAATTCTATGAAATTAGTGATTAAGAGGAATTATTATAGAAAATTGAAAATTTAACAAATCAAATTGAATAATATGGAAAACAGCTTGAAATTAAAGATAAATAGATTGAGTAGTTGTAATTAAATTAAGGGAAATAAGGAAGTATGGAAGAAGTTGGTAAGAGATCATAAGAGGAGGATTAAAATTTAGAAGAGAAGATTGCACAATTAGAAGAGGTTTTGTTGCAGTATTAAGAAGAGAATTCTTAATTTGTTGCAAAAGAAGAAGAAAATCAAAAGGAAAAATAATTACTGAAATAATAATTAGAATCATTAGAAAAATAAATAAAAGAGAGACAATAATAAGAATAAGATGCAAGTGTTGCACAATAACTTGAAGATTTGAAATTAGAATATGAAGAATTAGTTGAGGAATATGCATCTACTAATGAAAAATTATAATAATAAGAAATAGAATGCTAATAATTAACTGATAAATGTTAAGAGTATTTATCAGTTAAAGAATAATTGTAGGATCAAATAACTTAATTAGAATCTACATTATAACATCATAATGAAGTCTTAGAGGAAAATAATGAATTGAAATAATTGATGAATAAAGCATAAGAATAAATTAATAATCTATAAAGTAATAATGAATATCAAACTCTTTATCTTTAATTGAGAGATGAATATGAAGAATTTAAGGAGTAACTACAAATCAATATCAAAGATAAAGATTAATAGTTATATTAGGCAGTTTAATTTTGTTAAGAATTAGAACCTTTTAAAGAATAAGCACATATGCTAGAAGAAAATAACAAACTTTTATCTAATTAATTATAAACTCAATTAGAAAATAATTAAATTTATTAATAGAAAATTGAATAATTAGAAAATTAATTAAATACTCTAAAAAATTAAAATTAAGATATTAATGATCTATTATAAAAGTTGGATCAATTAAAATAAGACAATGAAAATTTAAAGACATAAAATTATGATAATGCTGAAACAATCAAGAATTATGAAATCTAAATGGATGCACTTAAATAAATTGAGTGTGATTCACCCAAGAAAATTTCAAAATTATAATAAGAAAATTCAGAAACAACTGCAGAGTATATCAAATTAAAAGAAAATACTTAAAGAGAGATACATCTATTAAAATAAGAGAGAAGTAATTTATAAAATGAAATTGTTGAAATTAAATAATTATTAGACACTTATATTAATAATGGAGAAACTTTTGAATCTAAGACATAATATATTATTGATTATTGGAATAAACTTCAATCAATTCAAGATGAATAAAATAATTTGGTTGAAAAATTTTAATTAGAAATTTAAGAATTAAATGAAAATATTGGTTAAATTCAGTCTTTGTAAAATTTAAGTACAGATCATTAATAATTGAATTAAGAATTACAAATTAATAATAATGAGAAAAATGAGCTTCCAACAAATGAGAATCTAAATTTATCTTTAGAAAAATTAGTAACTAATGATGAAACAAATTAGAATAATTTTCATTTTTAAGTTAAGAAAATATAATAAACTGAATACGATGAAAAATCTATATAAACAGATGAATTTATTGAATAGAAAAATGAATAATAAGTATAAAATTAATAATTAGAATAATAATAATAATAATAATAATAATAATAATAATAATAATAATAATAATAATAATAATAATAATAATAATAATAATAATAATAATAATAGTAATAAAAAGTATTTGAATCATAACTCATTTAAACTGATGATTTGCTATTTACTATTGATTAAACCATACCTAAATAAACTAATGATTAAATATGCTAAACTGATAAGTTGAAAGAAGAAATTTCCGAATAATTAGTTTAAAATAAAGAACAAGAAAATCTTGATCATGAATAAAATGGAAATGATTTAAATAATTAGTAAATCAATGGTGATCAAGATCATGATTAAAGTATTATAACAAAATTATTATAACCACCTGAAGATCTAGAAGGACAATTAAATTAAATATAAGATTTAAATTAAACAGATTAGTTAAAGTAATTATATATATTATCATTTTTTTAGAAAAAAAGTTGAAGATATGGATAATTTAAGAAAATCTTTAGAGAAAGAGATTTAAAATCTAAAAGATAAGAATAAGAAATTAGAAGAGAAACTATAAAATATCTAAAAACCTGGTACACCTAGAAAGCAATCGGATGCAAAAGAAGAAAGAAAGAAATAATAGGATAATGAATTAATTTAGAGATTATAAAAATAAATCAAGGAATTATAAGAAGAAATCCAATCATTTAATGTTCATTAATTAAATGAATAAATAGAATAATAATCAAATGAAATAGAATAATTGTAATAGGAAATTGAATAATATAAAGAATAACTAATTAAATAAAAATAGTAAACCATCAAATTTAAGAACTAATTAGATACAATTTATAATTTAGGACCATAAGCCTTATCAATGTTATAAAGTGAACCAAAAAGAGAATTTTCATCTACTTAATTAATTCAATAGGAAAAATATTAAATTTCATCTTTTTTGTATATAAAATCATAAAAATCTTATTAATGCTAATTTATTGAATTAAATAGGAAACAAATAAAAGTATTTTAATCAATAAAAGGAAAGATTGAAAAAGCTATGTTTGATACTTATACATTTGATGAAATATTCTTTGATACTCAAAAAATTCATTAGTTTTTAGATTAATCAAAATTGAAGTTATAAAGTGATTAAACAAAAATATATCTTATTTTAGGTTAATCTAAAACTCATAAAAAGTTAATAATGATTATGTTGATAGAATTACTTTACAATTTAATTTAAAAATAATAATTGAATTAAAAAATAACATTTTGTTATTAAGAAAGAATAGGTAAGTAATGGATAGAGATAGAATAATTTAATACTTAAACATCTTCCATTTAAGATTTAGAGTATACATTTTAAGCAATTAAAGTTCATTTATTGACTAAATAGAAAGCATTAGGTGAAAAAATTCGAAAACTTTCAATTATATATTAGACTTATATCGATAATTAATTATAGACAACAAGTACTTTTATGATTGCCACTTGTCCTTCTTTACCATAAGGAGATTTCAAAAATGTTATTTAAAAGATATTAAATTGTTAAATAAATTCAAATATGTAATTTAACATATTTTTAAATATTACACCTGCTTTATAATATTATCAAAAATCTGCTGAAATATTATCAATGGCTAAATAAATAAAATTAGCAAAGGGTTAATTAGATATTGCTTAATTGACTTCTAGTAGATCTGTTAGTGAATATAATTTAGTTGATGATGAAACTCAAAAATAATTAAGAATTATAAATAATAAATTGATATTGAAATAGTAAGAAATTGATTAAGGGAAAAAAGCTCTTGATTTGTATATAAAATAATTACAGGAGCTTTAAGCAAAATTAGATAATTAATTAGGATAACATAATACAATAGCTGTTTTAATAAATAATATGATACTAGAAATTAAATAGAAGATTAATATGAAAATGAATTAGAAGAAGAATAAAAAATCTTAGAATGTAGCATTTTTAGATAAATTGGCAATTCAATTAGATTAAATTATTAGAAAATAACAAATAAGTTAATCTAATGTCGAAAATGTGGATAGATTCATTAAAAGTAAAGCTAGTGAAATTGTAAATCCATTTTTATGAAAATCACATATTAAATCCAATTAAATATTCATCAGATAATTTAGCATTAGTTAAAATTAAGTCTTATTTCTCATTTGAAAAGGATCCTGGCCAAAATTAAGTAGCTGATAGTTCTGTTTATAAAATTCCTGTTTTTTTATATGCTTAAGCTATTAATTAAGAACAAAAATAAGTATTTTTCTCAGATGATGCAATCATTACAGATTTATCTGTTATTAATTTTTTTACTGTTAAAGAGTAAGCTTTTCCAATATTATCTCTTGTAAACTATTCCATTTTTTATAAAAAATCTGTAGTTCTTTACATTTCAAGTTAACGATATACTACTCTAAATTAAATTCATAAAAATTATACTTATTATATAATTCATACCATTATTTTCCTATCATATGTTTCCATTCAAAAATTCCAACACCAAAAGTTCCTGTTGCCTCTAAAACATAAATATATCCATTTGTATATTTCAAAATCATGGCAACATGATCTTATTTTATTATCTAATAAAATTACCATATTATGATCTAGTAACCATTCTTTAAGCTTTACATGAGATATGTTTACCTTAAAAGAGTAATATATCTCCTGTTTAAGCCATTTCTAAAAATTGTTAATTATGAATTAATCTCTTTTTATAATAGTCTTCAAATGGACGTATATAGTATTACAACTTTGGATGCTAACGATAAGTATCTATACAATTCTTAATAACATTGAACCAATCATTAGCAAATTCACCTTTAAACTAAAATACATTCTCATTATCTTCACATTTTAAACCAAACTCTGTTACGATATTGTTTTGTTTATTGGAAAAGTATTTAAAATTGAACAAATGAAAATTCAAGACTACCTTTGCTCTTTTTCTTTCTTCATTTTCATAGATGCATAGGATACCATCATGAAAGACACAAAATTTATTTTTATAGGATGAAAATAGAGATTTACTTTTCTTTTAAATCCAACCAGAATAAGAATCAGGTTATTTACATTATAATAGTCCAGATTATAAAATTTTGGATTATTGAGCTATATCAGCTTCATTTGTTTCACTTTCAGCATTTTAACTTATTACAGATTAAGCTAATCTATAATCAATATTTTGCATTCCTTCAAAATCAGCTTCTTCAATTATTTCTTACGTTTAAACAGCCTATTAATTTATTTGTTGCATTTGTATTTGCCTTATATTTACAGAGGCCATTAAGCTCATTCTTAATAAATTTTGATCTTATGGTTTATGATTACCAATTTCAATAGAACTGGCATGTTTAAAGTTATTATTATTATAGGGGTCTTCTTAAACTGAAGAAATAGCTGACTAGATTTTTTACATGATTTAATATATAAATTAAATGAATAATCTTTATTAATTTGACAGATCATTATTGACAATAGATATCCCAGGGGCTTAACCTAGAAAGAAATCAATATAATTGAATAAAATTGAGAGTTTAGATATCAAATAAACTAGACAATTAAAATTATAGTAACAGTCTGTTATTAATTATACTATCTTTTAGATTAAATATTGCTCAATAAAATCAACAGTATGGTAGAAGAAGATATCAACATGATTTTCATCATTTTTGCAATAGTTTTGTTCCTTAAGGTGAAAACTATTTTGATGGATCTTAAAAAAAACATTATAATCTACAGGAAGGTGAAATAAAGTAAATGAGAGCCCTTGAAAACATCTATGATTAACCTAAGTATTTTTATATTAAATGATGAAATTTATAAGGTGACAGATTATTAACTACAAATGATATTGATGGAGCAATGCCAGGATCTTTATAAAGTAAGGTGGTTAAGAATATGGAAAAGGCATAAAAAATGAGACTAGAAAGAGATTCTCAAAGAGCTCTCAATAATGAAGTTCTCTATTTAAGACCAATAATGGATTCTAGATTATAAAATGAAAAATAACCAGCAAGAACAAAGTCTTTTTCTATGCAATAAACTCCTTAAAATCCACCAATTGAGAACTGGCAAAATGAAATTATTAACTTAAAACAACTCAACGAATTTTAGAAATTACCAAGAATTGGAGAAAATTTACCAAGTATTTAAAATAGAGTTCATAAATAACACAGTTTCATAGAAGGATTTGATAGAGAATAATCAATTTTATAGAAATGTTAACCTATGAAAGTTTTTTTATGATTATAAACTACTAATACATTATGATAATTTCATAATCTTTCATTTAAAAAAGAGCTGTTAATACTTATTTGCCTTTTTAAAAGGTCTGTATTCATATTTCTCTTCCTTATTATTATCATCAGTTTTAAATGGTTGATTACTTTTTTCATTTTAAGAAACTTTTGGACTTTAAGGTTTTTTTTTATGTTCAATAATTGATTACTAATGTACTACAGATTGACTTTTCAAAGTATATTCACCAAAGTTATATAATTTAGAGGACTTTACAAATGAAGGATTAAATTTAAGTTTTCTTTTGATTCTTGCTTAAGAGGATTCATCTGTTTCAATATTACATTCATTAGATTGCAAGTATTTGGACTTTAAAGAGCTTGATCTACTAGATGGTTTTCTAGTAGAGGAAAATCTTGAAAGTCTTTCTGTAGAATCACCAGGCGATTTTTTTTTTTTATTTCTCTTATCAAGATTATCAGTAAATCGATTAGTTCTCCTTTCTGTTCTTATTTCATTTTCTTAGCATGTGCAATCACATGAAACATAGTTTATATAGCATTAACATTAACACCTACCAATAACTACTGTTCCCATTTTCTTATTTAATTTTAGTTAATAATGAAGAATCAATTATATAGATAAGTGGATTAATGTAAATAATCAAATCAATTTCCTATCAAATAACCTGCTATTAATGCTATAAGGACAGCTAACAATAACTAAGAAAAACTCAAATTACTTTTATCTATAATTTAATGATATTTGAAGTATACCTTTTTTTAATAATGCTTATTGAGTTTCAAATTCCATTTTTTATCTAAAATCTTGATATTCTTATTACTATATAATTAAATTTTATAAATATTTACTAGTTTTTCTAATTATTCTTTATATTATTTAATTTATTCATCATTTTCTGCTTTTGGTTCAATAACAGACTTGAACATTTTTGATTCTTATTATTAAGAAATACTTTAATTTGATTCAAAAATCTTAGACTCAGGTGCTTACTAGTGTGGTTAATCATCTTATTTAATATTTTGTTTAATTCTGCTTTTAATTTATTACGATTAAATAGTTGATTGATCTTTGTTTTTCCAAAATTGATTCAAATCTAAGTGATTTTTTATATTATCAATTACCTTAATCTTGAAAATCAATAAAACAAGCATTAACCTAAAATTTAGGATCAAATTTTGCATCATTCTTTATAGGTTAACTTGTAGAAATTTCAATTACTTATGTTTATTTAGAGTTGATTATACCAACACTTGGTTTTACTTGAAATAATGTAGGTGTTGTAGTTTTTATCTATAATATTTCAAATTTAAAGATACTTTGAATGCAACATCTTGTTAAGTCAAATTTTTGAGGGATAATTGTGCATGTGCTAATTTGTTTTCTTCAGCATCAAATTCTAAAAATTATTTAGGTTCAATTTCAATAAGTCCTTGCATTGAATAATAATATAATTCTTTATTAAATTAATATAATTGTTCATAATTATTCTTTTATATAGTAAATGAATGAACATAAAATTTAAATATATTGATTTAGCATTTGTTATAATATAGCATTAAAAAGTGCTTTTAAAGCATTATAAATTATTTAATTTATTTTTAAGTAGTAGTAGGTTGATTTGAAGAAAATAAAATTAAGTGATTTATCATTAATTTTAAGAAAATAAACAATATCAAAACTGATATATATATCTTAATTGATAAATCAAAATACTCAATTTATTGATAATTTTATGATAAATAATTACTCCATTTTATAATTATCAAATAAAGAAGTAATTACAATAATTAATTTAATTTCCAGTCAAGTGTTTAGAAAAATAGATTGATGTAATTAAAAAAACTGATAATTATTGGATTAAATTAAGAAGGAGGAAAAAAACCTATATTTTTAAAATTAGAAAAAATTATTGGAAAAATATAAGTGATAATTAATTACAAAGTATAAATCAGATTTTAAATAAATTAGTGGACATTGAAAGACTATATTAATATCAAATTTTATGATATGAACATAATTATTTCAATGATAATAGAATTCATTAAATTTGATCTTTAGTTTATTGTATTTGAATCAATAAATTCTTTCAACCATACTTTCTCGAATCTAGCTAAATATATACTTTTATTAAGTTGTAGTTGATTTATCAAAATGTAGATTAAATACTTAAGTAATTATCTTAGTCTCTTAAGATTAAAGATAAGGAAATTAAAAAATGAAGATAAAATAGAATATTAGATTTTTTAGATAAACCTTTATAAATTTATTATGAATAATATTATGAATAATGTAATTAAGAATTTCAATTGATTTCATCAATCTTTATAAATATTAATAAAAATGTAAGTTAATAAATAGAAGTGTATGTTTTGTGAGAAACTAAAAACAGATGGATCTTTTCACTTTATTCTAAAAAGAGCTCTCTATTGCAAATACTCTCAATCTCAGAATCTGATATTCTCAAAAGACATTAATGATATCTTAGATGATAATACAACAAAATGTACTATTCATTATAAAGATCATTTGCATTTCGATGATTAAATTGAATTTATGAGGAGGTATCTCAATTATTTCAATACAGATTTTATCGTTTTTTTGAGAGTGATGATCGATTGCCATCTTTATTTGAGTATTATAAATACCATATCAATATTCCTCGAAACTTTTACTCCAAAATTATTAATAAACGTATGGAAAAGAATAGAGAACTTCGTTATTTAAAGATCAAATAAGAACTAGGTTTAAATTAAGAAATTACAAATGAACCATCTCCAAAAAAGAAAGACACTTCTGAAGATTAATCTGTAAGTCAAATGAAGAATCTGCTCAAAGATCTAAAAATTGAATCAACAAAAACTGATGTTTCTAGAGTAAGCAATACTACTATATTGAAAGATCTAGTTAAAATGATTGGAAATAATACTGAAAAAACAAAGCCTTTTTAAATCTTTAATTATAATAAACTTATATAAAAACAAATCAATCCTTTGATTGAAGCTTAAAAATTATAGTTAAAGAAACTAGAATAACCTCATAATAATGAAAATACAATAAAACATATTAAATAACCTTCATTAACTGATAGACATCCTAAATCTAATTTATTATCTAGAAATTCATCACATTCCAAAATCAAAGTTGAAGTAAAACCAATCAAAAGACCTCCTTAGTTAAAATAAAGATAAGCATCTTTAGGAAATATTGAAATTACAAAATCATGTCAAACTACTTCTAGAAATAATCCATAATAAAATGAATTACTCATGGAATTGGCTAAGAAAGTATTTTCAACAAAAATAGCATTAAACAATAATATTATGACTAAAAAGAAAATTAATTAATAATAAAACAATAACTTTTTTGTTAAAGGGAGATCAAATATATAAGGAAGTTTAAAGAATTTAGAAGATTTAAAAAGTTCTATGAGAAGTTTAAATGTTCATCGTAAGACTCCAAATAAATTAATTAAATCACATTAAGGTACTCCAAATTAGAAAAAAAAATGATGATAGTTTTTTTTTTATGATGATTAATTTTTGATTAATAATTTTTCAAATAAAATATTTCTAAAATTAATTATATGTTATTTAGTAAGGGTATTCTTAAAAAGATTAAAAGAACAGTAAAACATGTTTACTTTTCACATCTAAAACTTTAAAGTCATCTTAAGTAATTATTCCATCTTAATCTAAATCTATGAAATTGAATATTATATCAATATTCTTCATATCTGATCCCATTTAATTAGTTGATTCTTTCTTATATCTTATTAATTCCAAATATTTTTATATCAATATTTTTATGATTTTTTTAGTTTCATAAGTAAATGCTCCTATATAACTATTTAAAGACTATTTACTATCTGGAAATAAACATTTAAAGTCATTTAGACTATATATAAATATTATTTCTTACTCCCATTAAGTTTAAGAATGATGAGTTGAATAATTATGAAGTAATTATCTAATTATAAATTCATTAACATCTATTCCTAATTACAAAAACCCAAGTTTTAAATCTTACAATCCAATAGAACCATCTACATCAAGATCAAAGAATTAAAATGCTTATTAAATAGAATAATCAGCACGACTTGATAACTGAATATATTTTAATTTATTTACTTCTAATTTAATTTGATCCAACTCTTCATTCAATTTTCCTATTGTTATTAAATGCAATTAAAATTCTAATATTTATTCTTCCATTAAACTAGAATGCTTTTATAAAGATTTAGTTGATGATTTTAATTGAACATTTCTATTAGAATTAATATTTTCTTGATCTGTCTTTTATCTAGATTCACTTCTATGCATCGATAATTAGCTTTGTTATTTACTAATATATTTTTATAGATTTCCTCTAGAACTTTAATTACTTTTTGGAGGTTTTGAACATTTAACCAACTCTTCCCAATCAAATCTATTTACATCTGAATCTTGATCTTTATCCAATCTCCTCATAGCACAGACAACATCTTCAAAACTTATATCTAGATCAATATTTTTAAGTAATTATAAGAAGACTGGCATATTTTTATCTGTTTTTGGACACAAAAAGTTTAATAATGTATTTTTATCATATCTTAACATCAAAGCATCTAAATATGCTTAAATTTTTCGAATTATCTCTATATTTTTTCCTATAATTTTTCCAATTAAATTAAGTATATCTGAAGTAGGATTGTTATAATTCATTTGTTTTTATTGATATTACTTCAAAAATATCTGATTATTTGGAAGCATCAAGTCTAAAAAGCTAAGGGATTATTATTTTATTTTACTCCTAATATGTAGTATACTTAAGTATTGATATTTCTCTTTAATCAAATCGTATTTACTAATTTTATAGAAATACTTCTAAATCATTTCTTGTTATTCTGTCTTTCTCATAAGCAAGCTAATATTATTACAATTTTATGAACATGTAAAAAGCAAGTTTAATAACTTATATTGCTATCAGTTATTTGAAGAATTAGACTTTACTTTAAGTTTTCCAACTCTTTTTCTCCTTTAACAGTATCTTTAATCAAATGTATAATTGTATTTTTACTCTAATTTGAAAACATAATTATATTAATTTTGTAGCTGTTATGATAAATTACTTAATTACACAATTAATATAGTAAAATTATATTCTAGAAAATAGAACTCATAGAAGTCTGTAAATGTCTAAAAGACATAAATATACACAACATTTAGAATTTATAATAATAGTATATTCCTATATTTTTTATGATAAATAAATATTGTATATGATATTTAGTTTCTTAAAAATTACAAAAATGAATTATCTCAAATTTTAAATTCAAATATAATATATGTTTTGAAGAACTATTATTTATTTTTTTAATCATAAAACATTTTTAATAATCTTAGATTATAATCAATAATACATATTGAGAATTATAAATAATTCTTCAAATAAATAGGATAAATATTGTTAATAGAAAATTAAAATTATACACTTATTAATATGAATTGATAACTACATAATTAAATATATGATTAAATATTTATTTTTAATTTCATACCATTAATCTATCGATAATTAGTAAAAATTTCATTAAATTTAATAATGATAAATTAAGCAGAATTAAAATCTCAATAGTTATTAATCTGCATGATAATTATATAGTATTTTTAATTTTATAAATAATTAATTAGATAAAAATTATAAAATACCATTTAATATAATTTCTAAATCGCTTTCATATTTACAGGCTTTTAGGATTATTATTTTCAACTTGATTAATGATTTATTATTATTATAAATAAAAGCCGATATTAAAGAAGTTGAATGTAAAAATTTGTAAGTGTTACTTATTATATGTAAACTATTATATTGAAGAATATAAATTTATTATCAAAGAAATTTCACTGTTTTTACTTTTTTGTCTAACATTCTTTTCAAAGTTAATTAAGGAGATTAATAATCCTAATATATTTATTTAGATGTACAAGTATTTATCTTATATTTTCTGTTAATGAGTCCCTCTTTTATTTAATTTTAGGAGGATACCTAATTGTAATAGTTGATTATCTTTGACTCAAACTCGGTAATTTCAATTTGACTGATTAATTCCCTTTTTTAATTATGGTTCTTTGTGTTAAATCAATTAAGTAAGCATTTCTCTCTACCATAAATGATCTTATTTAGGGTAAACTATGTTAATGATGTTATGACATGTTATTTATATTTATATAATTATTAATTTTACAATATTTATAATGACTTCTTCATAAAGAAATAATTTATTCATTAAATTAATTGATTATAGAATAAATTTTATATAAAACATCAAATAATCTAGATCAAGATTTGAATTAAAAAGAAGAAATTAAAGAAGCTAATAGACTTCTATTAAAAATTATTCCTTTATTTTAACACTAAATCAAAATATCTTTTATATACTAAGAAACTTATTGATTATGAAATTTATGATTACTAAATTACTTAATTTTAAATATTTTTATACTCTTGATCTTAATTAGTAAGATAATTAATAAATTTAGATTTTTAAATTACTACAACTAACTCTACTATAAGATTTAATTCTTACATCATATGATTTGTATTAGACTTATGATGATCTCACTAATAATAACACTTAAGAACTTAATTATACAATACTCCATATTTTTACTAATATTTAAGTGTTACTACTATTAGTAATTCATTTCTATTTAGACTATGAAAGAGTTATCAATAGATTAGTATATAATTACTTACTTAATTAATTTTACTTTCTCAAATTGATTTCAAAATTGTAAGCTATTTTTCAATCTCAATAAATATAATATAGTTTATAAAGTAAAAAAAATTACATATTGGATTTATATAATATCTAAAATAAATTCAATGCCATCATAGATTTAATTTGTTTTTATACAACAAATAGGTATGAATTGACAATTTAATAATGACAATTAATGTATCATCCTTTAATTCAATTAAAAATTAAATTACATTATTGAAGCTATATTTAACTTTTAGTTCATTTTTTTAATTAGGTTTAAATATAAGAATGAATACTAAATCCATCAATCAATAAAATCACAATTTGTATTTATATAATTAAAATTAATTAACAATATGAATTAGAAATTTAAATTCCATGAGAAAAGCCAATCGTTACCATTAATAGTTAGAAAACCAATAGCAGTTATGAATTATAGATTGTATGAAAAATACCAACACTCATAAAATTACTATTATATAAGGGATATTAATGAGATATTAAGTGATGTTGAAACAAAAATAGTAATAAATTATAAAGATTAATTGGTTATTGATGAAGATGTATTTCAAATAATTAATATAAATAGGAAGAATATCTCAAGAGATTTTATTAAATTAAGGAATTTCCATAAAAAATAGAGTTACTCACAGAATATTACAAAGTATAAAATTATTATGAAATAGTTCCATATAGATATTGCACGAATATTCTAAGAGCCAATATGTTCAATCTTAAACAAATATTATGATAAGAAAAGAAAGTATGATTATTTTAGGATTGCTAAAATGATTGAAGAGGAAAATAAATTAAATCCAAATAAACCACCAAAGGGAATTGTAGGTGAGAGACCTTCTCCTGCAAATTCTTAAGAATCAGCATTTTATGAAAAAGATGAAAAAGAGTATTAGAATATAAAAAATATTTAAATATTAAAAGAATTGAGTTGGTTAAAAGTAAGACTTTACCATATAACTACATTAGCATGACAAAACTCTGCCTAAAGAAGTCTCTCAAACAATTAATGAATTATGTAAATAAATTGGATCAGGAGAAGATTAATCATCCTTTTCAATAATTAAATTTTCAAAATAGGAAAAAGTATCTTTAGATAATTTTCTAATGTATATTGGAGATAAAGCTAAAATTCAATAGAAAACATCTCCAACGGCAAGAAACTCATAAGAATAATTGATTTAGGAATTAATTATGAATTAAAAAGCTAATATTTTATAAAAGGATAATTAAAGAAATAGTATGCATAAGAAGAATGAAACTAAATATAGTATTGGTTCAATAGAGATGAAAAATAATTTTGTAAAGAATCAATTTAATAATATCTCTAAAAAATCAAATAGATAAGCATCAACAGATATAATAGAGAGTGTAACTAGACTAGAGAATAAACCTCAAGAATTAATTAAAGTTAAATCTAAGACTCTAGTAAGTAAGAATTAATTTAAAATAAATAAATTTATTGGTGAAAACAATTAAAATTCCCCTACTCCATCTTTACATAAAATATCTATAGGTTCTTCATAATAACCTATTATTTAATTCTAAAATAATCAATTAACTAAACTTTTGCTTGAAGAAGTAGAATCATAATAAAAATTAAGAAATGGTGCCATAACACACAGACCTTAATCTAGCAGAAATACTTTAATTGGATCTTCTTCAACTAGAAATAGTCCTTCAATCAATAATAAAAAATTAACTTTCTCTAAGTAATAAAGGGAGGATAATTAGAAAAAATAAAAACTTAAGACTACAAATTCTCCATAAAATAACAATAAAATTGGATTATTAGCAAAGAATTTATTTATAAAAGCATTAAATGCTAAAAATTAAAAGAATTCGAACCATATTAAATAGAATTTAAATTAAGATAAAGTTCTTAATTAATATAATAAATAAAAACCTAGTTTTATATAGTAATAAAATGATTAACTTGAAAAGAAACAACATAAAAAAATTAAATCTGATTGTAGAGCCTTATATAATAAATTTTCAATTCATGAAATAGGATGTTTAACAGATAGAAATGATAAAGAAACTTAATAATTGTTTAGTAAAATAAACAAACATGGTTCTCCATAAACATAACATTTTAGAAGGTTACATAGTGAAAAATAAGATTCTCTTACTAATAATATGAAAGGGACTTTAATTTAATAAATGTTAAAATAACTTAATAAATAAAATTTGTAGAATTAATTAAAATAAGATCTGAGATCATAAGTAAAATATTCAACAAAAAAGTCTTGATTATTTTAATTTTAATATTTTTTGAATTATATGTGTAACTCTATTTTAATTAATTTATATAATATTCTATTCTAATATTATTTTATTCATTAGTATTCTAAATTCAATCAATAATAATTAAACAATCAATTTATATTTATTTTCTAAAAAATGTTTAGGATGTAGTTGAATTTTTAAGTTCTTTATACAATTAATATCTTTTAGCCTATTTCTCATAATCTTCAAAAATATAATTTTATTGGATTGATGAATTTCTTCTTAATATATCACCTATCATACTAATAGGATTTTATGTTTAATCTTCATTATTTATACTTTTAAAATAATCTAATAATAACTTTTTGGCTTAGTATAACCAAATTAAAAGAGCATTTTTTTAATCAATTTCTTCTTCTTAATCTTCTTCATCTTCTTATTAGAATTGTTATTCTTCATCTTATTTTCTATTAAGTTTATTATATATACATACAAGCTTTTGAAAATATTATTTTAAATAAAATCTTCTTCCTCACTTTGAATCATTTATTTTATTATTGGTTCTAAGTCATAATTTACAACATCAATATGTCTTTTATAATTGAAATTTTCAGATTTATTGCAATTAAGCATACAAATATCAAATAATAATTTACAATCTAAGGATTTTGATTTTTGTAATTATAGCAAGTATATTTATAAACTTATTTTTGCTTAAACAATAGGAATTTGATAATAAAATTATTCTTTTGGAATTTTCATATATTAGGATCCGCAATCAATAGTACCAAAATATAATAACTATTTAATATCAGAACTTCCAAAATTAGAAATTATTTATTTCATTTTAATTCCTCCACCAAGTAATCTTATTTATTATATACTGTAAATAGCATCTATAGAAAATCCACTTTCAATCAAATATTATTGCCATACTTAACCTCTGATTGCACATTCGAAAAGAAAGACAATGTAAAATTGTTTTGATAAACTAAATAATTAACTAAATTTACTTATATAATGTAGATTTCAATTCTTTTGATAATACACAAGCACAATAAGAATTATCACATTTTTTTGATCCAATAATTTATGAACACATTGTTATATCATTTTGTTGTTCCCAAAAGGATTTTCTTTTTCCTAGTAATAAACCTTTAATAATAATCAAAATTACTATCAAAATTCAAAACAATAATTTTGTTTATTTATACATCTGTTCGTTATGATAAATATAAGCATTTAATATTCACTCCTTTTTTTAATTAATCATGAATTTTTGTTTATAATTTGATATTTATTAGATGATCAATTGTTTCTTGTCTACTTAAAAGTGGTTTAAATATGGAATCTTTCATTTTGGAAACAACATTTTTACGAGGAGTTATAATGGGTGAATAAATTTTTGGCAAAATCAATTCCTATTAATTATGTTCAGTATAATCTTCATTTGGTTCTTATCTACTTCTTAAACGTGTACTCTTGCTCATACTAAATATTTTATCTTCTTTTGGAGTTTCACTCCTTTCAGAAATTTGAAGATTTCTTATTTTAAACACTTAGATTGAATTTCCTCCATCTATTGAAAGATCTCTCTCCTAACTTGTATTATTTCTGCTTGAAGTTGGTGAACCTTTTGAGCGATTTGATTTATTGGAGCCTTCAATTTCAGGAAATTTAAACCTTCTATGTACTAAATTGATTGATTTTTGCTGCATGGTTTTTAGTAAATTAGAATAATATATGAAACAAATCAATAGTCTGTTAAAATATTATTTTAAGTTATATTAACTTATTTTATCATCATTAAACCCATAAACAATAATTAGATTCTCAGACAAAAATGAAGAATGATTATAGAAAAAGTTTAAGTATTATTCTAATTATTTTTGTCTAAATTCAATTAAGTTCCATAAAATTTCAGATTTATTTATAAGTGAAACATTAAAAACCACAATAATAAACTTATTTTGCTAAGTAATTTATTCAATCAAAATTAAATATGTATTTAATTGTCCTTTATGTTTTATATTATTGACAATTAATACTACTACAAGGACACATTTTATTTAAAGATATTTAATTAGCTTAATGATATAAAATAATAAAAATTTAATTGTAAATAAAAATTTATTTGATTATGTTAAATTATTTTATATGTCATTAAACTTATTAAAATTACTCTGTTCTTAATCTAAAAATAGTTGTTTATTCATTTAATGGCATATCTTAAAGTAATTTTCTAGTAGCCAATATATCCACATTTTAATTAAAATATTTTTCTAATTAATTTGAAAAACATTTATAATATCTATAAAGAAAGTTCTTTAGTGATTTTTCTTTTAAATCTAGTTTGTATAGTGCTGAAGAGAATAGAATATTGAAACAATTTCTTAAATCATCCAAAATGACTTAAATTTTCATATCATTTTCCTCTTCTTTCTTCTTTTCTTTCTACAACAATTAATTTAAAATTTCCTTCTGTGATAGTGCTCTATCAAGTTCAGCTTTCATTTCATCGTATTCTTTTCTAACTAAAATAACTTCATAAACATACTAAAATTTTTCATTTCTAATTATATAAATAATTTTACCTATGTTGTTCAACTGAATGCTAACAAGATTCACAAATATATATATTAGATCCCACTTGAATCATCACATTACAAGTTCTTAAATTTTCATTAGACACTGAACAATTCTTATGACAAGTTTTCTAGCAAGTGTTACAATTAGTCATAAAAATTCCATTTGGACAATCTGTTTTTTCAATTTTAGTTTCAAATTCAGTATAGAAAAATTTTTCATTTTATTGAGCAATTTAATCATAATTTTAAATTTTTGTTATATTGCTTTGCACAATTCTGTCTATTTTCATTCTACATTATAGTTCTTGACCCAAATTCTCAATTTAATGTTTTAATCTATTTCTTTGATGGATTACTTGAATTGTTGTATCTAATGTAAATCCTTCATCTGAAGATATTTTTCTTACAAATTTTTTATAATTCTCTTCATTTTTTTTATATTAAATATTTGAAATTATATCAGATTTCTTGGAAAAGTAGACTGAATTTTAAAATTAACAATATTCTTTAGGTATTTCATTCATTTAGTTGTCACTTAATGGTACATTTGTCTCATTGGCAGTTGGGCTAGATTAAGTTATATTATTTTAGCTGATATTTTGTGTTTACATCAAATAGTCCCTCTAACTTAGAACATAGAAGATGGATTATTGGTTTTCAAAATTATGTCTATGAATACTAGTAAAGTCTGAAAAAGTTAATGCATGAATATAATGGTAAGCCATATCTATTCCAAAAAGCTTTAAAACGTTAAGTAGAGCCAATTATTAAAGTGTGTGACTATTGTCTACAATATAGCTTGTTGATAGTTGAGAAACGATGATAACCTGATGAATTCTTTCATTTTTTTCATGCAATTTCTTTAATTAATCAGAGATTTGATCAATTATAGCTTAGTCTCTAGAATAACCTTCTGTGTCACCTAATCCTGGTGTATCTATAAAATTAAAGATTAAACCATCATCTATCTTCATTTTGTATTAATCTACATTTCTTGTCACCGATTTTCCTGTTTAATTTAAACGATCATCATTAATTACATAATATCTTACTCCATCATCCAATTTAATTTTTTTAATATAATTTTAAAAACTATTTATTAAAGTAGTTTTTCCTTATCCTGTTGTTCCAACCAATAGAATATTTTTTACTATTGTTTCAGGTTTTTATAATAAAATTTGAGTTTCTTCATTAGAAAGTAATTTTGCACTTTCATATTCCCATTTTAAATTTTTTTATTAAGTATTATAATTATAATAGATCTATTGAAGAATAAAAAATTCTGCTGGTGAACATCTCCTACCTATAAAACTTACTTTTGAATCTTAAAAAGAGAGCATCAACTATTCAATAGTTACTATATGATTTTTCTTGAGGAGTTCAATAAACATTTTTTTTCTTTCTTCTGATCCTATTTTTGATATAAATTATTCTTCTATAATTGGCCATTCCGTTTATACTACAGGCTTTGGTCCAGAAATAAATGGTTTATTTTCTACTATTTAACCTTATGGATTTTATGGATTTTATGGTTTTATAAATAACTCTTTAAACTTTTAACAACAAGATTTTTTCTGTGCTTGCTACATAATTTATTTATTTTTATTATTCTAATTTACTTAAATCAAAAAAAGATTTTAAATAGCTAATTACAAAAACTAAATTTATCAAAAGTATTCTCAACTTCTTTTTGGCTAGTATATAAATAGATTCCTTGAAAATTATGGCAATTAGTGATTATAACATGGTAATTCAGGTGCCTACATAGATTCTTAACTCAAACTAGTAAGAAGATGCTTTGTTTAATTTTCATCAGTAATCATAGGTTAAAATCTATCTGTGTCGCTAATCTATATAGACCCTCTAAGCTGGTTTATATCATTTAAAATAGAATTCTCACTTTATTGTAACCTAATTTAGATGAAAAAATTGGTTACTCATCATTATTCTATTCATCTTTTGAAGAGTCCATATTTTCTGTATATTCCCTATTTTTAAAGTTCACTCTTCTAATTAATTTTTTTGAATGAGACTCCCAAGCCTTGAATGCAATTAGAACATTTAAATAATCATGTAATATATTGAAGTTTGTTCTCAAATCAACCAAACAAATATTAGCTCGTTTGATAAAAAGATTTCTTCTATAATTCATCAATTTCATTTGCATTTCTTTGTTATATTATTTTATTTATTTGATTCCATTTTTGCTTCCTGTCTTAAAAACATTATCTTGAAAACAAGTTCTAAATAATTCATAAATCAATTAATTATATTAAATGTACCCTCGATGATCACTAAAATATGGATGAGAAATACCATTTCAATTTAAAAGCAGAAGCTTATTTTGCAGCATCCCAAAGATTCTCTTCTTTCCCTCTCCCTAAAGGTGCACCTAAATCCATTAGAAATCTACATAAGAATTTGTAGTGCATTGCTTTTCCTTGTGTTTCAGGTGAATACTTACACCAAATTGTTTTAATCCTATCCTCATTTTCAACATATGTTTAAATAATTGAATTCTATACTTAAAAAAAGGATTCAAATTATTCTATTAATCCTAGTACAAATAAATTTAGAAACACATAATTAGATAGTAACATAAACAAAAAGAAATAAATTTAACTATATGTTGATCCACAATACAAGGAATCACTTGTACAATTTGGATTATGATGCATAGTATCAGTCATAATTGTTCTCCAATCATCTCCTGAAGCACATTTAAATAAAGTAAGCATAGCCTATGCAATGTTATGAAAATTGATTTATTCATCCATAACTTATCCTGAATCTATTTAACCATATAATTGACATCCAAATAAAGCAAAAACAAGCATTGTGTCAATCAAAATAAAGAATATTTTTGCTAAAAATGGTAAGGCATAGACCATTACTCTCATCAATCTTTAGATATTTATCAAACCTTAAAAGATGAGTATTAATCTAAAACTTCTGAGCATAAAACATATTCGATATAGTCTATAATATGGTGTTAAAGGACTGGAATAGAAGTAAATTTCAACCCATGCAAATTCAAAATCAGCTACTAGATCTGCTATTGCAAATATAATCAAAATAAACAGGAATTATCTCCAATAATTATCAAAAAATCTAAACAATCCTAAAGCCAGATATTGAATTAATCCCCATATGGTTATTACAATAGAAAAACCATGATGAATGTAATTGATTATAATCAAATGTTTTATACTCATATCTGAATGAAATAGTATGTTATTAACCAAATCAAGAAGTAAAATAATAAAGAAGATTGTCTACATAATATTATCATTCATAATAATAGAAGCAAATCGACGAATTACATTGTCAGGTGGTGTTGAGAATACTGGAATATCTTTAGTAATTATATCAGATATTTCAATGAATTCTTTTTAATTTTGATTGAAATCCTTTTTTTCAATTTTTCTTTGATTAAGTTTTAAATTCGAAAAGAGTACTCCAGTAAATAAACTTAAAAAGAACATAGAACCAACAAAGCAAAATGAAATGAAAAACACATAAGTATGAATGTAACTATTAAATGGAACTGGGCCAACATTAGAGCTATCACTATTTTCAGCAATCTATAACATTTCTCCCCATCCATCAAATGTTGAAACTGTAAATAATGTAGGAATAGCCATAGTAATATTATCAAAATTGTGTTTGAAATTTACCCAAGTTCTATTTTACTCTATGCATTCCTAATAACTAACACGAAATTGCATTTTGTCTTCACAAAACCCAAATTGTCTCTCATACAATATTATTCCATAAACTCCAAAAATGATCCAAACTGAAAACAGAGTTAATAATACATTCAATATATCAACTAATGATTTATAAAGTGCAGAACTTAAGACATTCAAGATAGTAATTCTATTTAATAAATTAAAGGGTCTAAAATATCCAACATATAAAAAGATCTAAAATATAGGTTTAATATAATCATCTTTTTCATATTATATGAAGAAAGCAATTATATAGATTACATCAACTATTTGCCAAATTGAATTAAAATAAGCTCCATTATCTATAAATAATCCTTTAGCAATAACATTAATAGCATAATCAACAGCCAAAATTAAATTGATGTAAAATTGTGCTACTTATGGATAGGTTTCTTTATCCTCTTCATAATCGTTGTAAGTTTGTATGATAAAAATAACAATTGAAGATACAAGGGATAAATCATTAATTAAGATATATAATTTAGATCTGGCAACAAGCATACATAATTTTCTTAAAGGATTTGTTTTATCAAAACAAAATAAGGATTATTCACAATTTACTCCATTGTAGAGTTCTGGATTCTCATCTTGTATTTTTTAATAGATCTATCTAATTGAATTTATTAAATGTTAAATTAATGCAATCTTTTATTTACTATTGGTTTTTGGAAATGTAACATTTTATATTGATCTCATATTATTTATTTCTGAAAATTGTTGAGTATGTTAAGTTTCTAATTATTCTGTATTTTAGACAATTAATTTTGGAGTTTCATTCTCTTCCATTTCAGAAAAGATTTAACGATCCAAATATTTACCAAATCCATCCAATAGAATAGCCAATACTAAACCATATGTCAAATAATTCAAGACAATTACCATAGAATATGAATAAACTACTGCAAATGTTTCATTTATACTTGTTCCCAAAACAAATACTCCATACCAATCATCATTTGTCATTATATTGAACACTGTCATAAATGATTTTAAAACATTATTATAAGAATGTAATTATCCTAAGACATCATTTTAATCAAATCTGCCTGCATAAACTTCCATACCAACCAAAGCATATAAGAATATTACAATGAACATTAAAAATGTTAAATAAATGTATTATTTAAATGTTTTAGATGCTATGTGACCTATTGTTACTGCCATACTATTGTATTTTAAACATCGATAAAATAAGATGCATTTAGTTCCTCTTATTAATCTTAAGTTTTATTCAGTTAGATTAGGCATATAATCACTCATTGTGAATTCAATGAAATTCAATACTACTATCATAGTTTACATGATACTCTCATTACTATTAGTTAATTCTTTAAATGAAAAACTACAATATCTTAAGAAGGTTTCAATTGATAAAAGAATAGTAGTAATATCTTCAACTTAGGAAATTATTGAAGCATCAACTATTCCATAAAGTGATAAAAAAGTAAAGTTGATAAAAATTAATAAATCTAAAGCGATTTCAGTTATTTTACTGGAAACCATTCTGCTTAAATACTTCCTAAGAATTAAAATTTTTCCAATTATTCCCCTAACCCAAATTACATGATCAACTTTATTCATAGCAATCAATGTACTTCTAAAATTAATACTTAAATAATTGGATTCAATAACATCATTTCCTGACCAATTTAGATCACAAATTATTTTATTTTTAATGTCTTTAATTCTAATATTTTTATATTCTTATTCTAGACATTATTATTTAATTTTCTCTTTTTCAATTTTTTATTTTAATTTGTATAAAATTTTTTCGTAATTTAAATAATACCCTTATATAAATAAAAAGGTTACAACATCACCTTTTTTAATAGCAAATTAAACATTATGTTTAGATTTAACCATATGTTTTGTAAAACCTTTATAATTTTTTTTTTCAGTTCTTATACATGGTTTTCTTGTTGTAACTGAATCTTAAGAACAATTTTCTTTTATTATATGTCTTTATGCTCGAAATGACTTTTTAATAGGATATTTGAAACTGTTCGATATATTATTAGATTTAAATATTTAATCATGCAATGAATTCGATTAAGGTATTGCATATTAAAATGAGAATGTGTATTTACTGAAATCGATAACTTTATCATCAATATGCTTTTTCACATTTTATATATTTCTAAATAAAAGAATAATAATACGAAAAGGAAGGCATAACATCCTCTAGACTGGTATATTTTTGATGTTGATTTGGATTTAGTTATTTTGAAAGTTAGGCAAAGTCAAATTTCATTAAGTCTTCCAGGATTTTGAGATAATCTTCATCATCAGTGTAGTTTTTCAAATTAATCAATTCTTATTATTTTCTAAGTTTAGAGAACTTGGTTAGAAGTATATGTTTGAATGTCAGTCCTCTCAATCTCTACAAAAGTGACTGGATGAAATTCATCTAGAAGTAATAAAGAACAAGAAATTACATTGTTATCATTAACATTTCTTTACTTAGCAGACAATAGACGTGGTTAAGTGGAGTTTTTTGATTGGAAATCCTCCAATTTATATGAAGATATGTTTTTAGAAGAGTTTAATAGTTTATAGTATTGTTAAAAGGTTTTATGAAATCCAATGTTTTTAAGCAAAGCAACATCAAAAATATTAGAAGTGTCTCTGATTTATATTTCATTACAGTTTTGTGATTCTAATAACTGTTTATTGATTTCTTACTACTCCTATTCATGGAAAAATTCTTCAGCAGCTTCAGCATAATGTGTTTTTAGTACAGCAATAACCAAATTGAAACCAAAAAAGCCACCCACAAAAATAATTAATAAATAGTAAATCCAAACCCAAGGACTAAATATGCGAATTGTAAAAAACATCACCCAACTCCAATCATCCATTGTGATGGTTCTGAGAATTTATCCATATGAATAAATAATGTTATTGAATGAAGTTGGAACCTTTACAGTATTAGCAACAAATGAACAAATCATTTCATCAGGACATTAATCAACATTACATTAAATCCAAACATCTCCTGCATCTTCATCTGGATTTATTGGCATGCATCTATAATTGAATAATCCTTAAAATAAATAGAGTCCAGCCAAGGCAAAGAATAGGGAGAATAGTCCCACAATGGCCAAGGCCTCCAAAATGTATTTGATTGATTACCTTAAAGCAGTAAGCATAACTCTCAACCCATCAAATATGTCTCCAAGATACTAAAGTAGAGTTATGATTCTCAATGGTGATAAATCTATTATCACTATATCAGGACGATATAAATTAAGTGCTGATAAGAGCACAATCGAAAAATCAAAAACATTAGAAAAGTTGACGAAATAAGCATTCTTTGATAATAAGAAACCTTATGAGATGATTCTCAATCCAATTTCTGTAAAAAAGAGGATTGTAATTATTTATTCTATCTGATCTGTATCTTCTCTGTGTTCAGTCTTCACAATAATATACAGAACAATATTAAAGAGTATAAGGATAGTCATTAAAATTTGAAATCCAATCGAGTTTACTATAGTCTTTGCCAAGATCGGAATCAAAAAAGACATGTACACAATTATCTTTCGCACTTGAAGCAAAGGGTAATGATCATGGTAATGCTATATATATGTAAATAAAGAGGACTACTTCCAGTTCGTGTTTTATTCTCTGGTATCCGTGTAGCTCAACTAACTTAACATAATATGGGTCAGTTCTGTAATTTCTTTGAGAATGTTTTTCATGCTTATGAATAATGTCTTAATCAACATCCAAAAAATCTGGTTAAACTTCAGCTTTTCTTTAAAATTCATTCAGATCACCCTAACATTTCATTTGTTTGACTATATCCACTTTGCAACGATCTCTTGCATCATGTTCAATTAATTAAATCAGAGGAATGGGTTGTTCATTGTCAAATTTATTTTGAAATCCTTCTTAAGAGTGTCTTTTCTATAAGTGTTCTTGATCAGATATACTATCTTATGGGAGTAATCGATTTTCAAGTCCCAGATAACTACTTTTGTCTGAGATATTTATAGATTGCTTCAATTGAGAATGGATTGAATTCAATCTATCAGATTAATTAATTTAGTTAATCACTTAAACTTCCTCACTCTACCGCTATTTTAACTTTATTGCATTACTATTCTCACTCTTTTTCCTCTCATGTCTTATTTCATATATCATTTATTAATAATAATCTCTTATTTAATATTTCACTTGTTTTATTCTTTTATTTTTTTAAACTTTTTTTCTTATGTTCACATTAAGTAAGGCCACATTTTTAAATATATAAATCCTTAATTAATCTCAAATAATATTACTTATCATAATCAAATTACTATCTAAAATTCCAATCAACAAATTTTAATAACAATACTTAAAAATAATCAATCTCATGACAATATAATCAAAAAAATCACTATTAAAATGTTTCAAATACTAAATGATACTAAGTTAATTTTATAAAATAAATAAAAAAATTATGAAATAAATATTGGATCTTCAAAAGCTTATTACTTTTAGACATTTAATGCATTAGAATCCAGAAGCTTCATTAAAAGAATTCTAAACTCAAAAGAATGTAAGAGAATTCTTAATTGGTTTAAATATTAAAGAGGATGTAATTAAAGTGTGTGGAACAACAGGATTAATTGTTGATTTGAGTGGAGAGGCAGAAAAGGCTGGAGATGATAGATTAATTGCATTTAGAGCAGATATTGATGCATTAGTATTAAATGAAGCCAATGAACATCTTCCATATAGAAGTACAAATGGATGTGCCCATATGTGTGGACATGATGGTCATACAACTTGTCTTTTGGCTTTTGCATAGATCTTTTAACATTATAAAAATACTATTCCTAAAAATAAAACAGTGAGATTATTATTTTAACCTGCAGAAGAAGATTATGGAGGTTCTGTTGATATGATACGTGATGGATGTTTAGAAAATGTATAGGAAGTATATGGATTTCATTAATGGCCTACTGCTAAGATTGGGTAAGTATGGTGTAAAGAAGGATCAATGATGTCTCAACCTATTCAGATGTAATTTGATTTTGTGGGGAAAGGTGGTCATGCATCTGAACCACATAAATTTAATAATCCAGTTTAATGTGCAGCTGAATATCTATACACTATTCATAATTAATTAAGTTAAGAAAAGGGATAATTTACTTTTGCATGGACATGTTTCAATGGTGGCACAGCTTTCAATGTCATTCCAGATACTGCTACTGTTAAAGGTATGATACGTTCATTAGAGGCTGGTCTTGGTGATAGATTGTTTAATGATGTATTATTATATCTCTTATTATATATTAGTGTTGTAGTGTTGCAGAGAAGACATGTTAAAAATATGGATGTAGTGTCAAAGTTTAAAGATAAGCAGAAAACTATCCTTTGACTGCCAATCATCCAAAAGAAGCATAACACATATTAAGACTTGGTGAAAAATATTTTGGTGCTGGTAATGCACATGCTGGTCCTTGTCCTGTTTATGCCTCTGAAGATTTTGGAAATTATACTCTTAAAGTACCTGGAGCTTTCTTCTTTTTGAGTTCAGGAAAAAAGTAAAATATTCCTAATAATTTTATAATTAGTGATACAAACAATCCTATGTTGCATTAATCAAATTTTGATTTTAATGATGATCTCATTGAATTGGGTGCTGGATTTTGGTGGGAAATTGCCAAAGATCGTCTATTAATATGAATAACATATATAAAATTTATAGAAAATTTAATGAGTTTCTTGACTTTAAATATAGATTAACCAAAATTCATATTATACAATAATAAGTTTGCAATTTTCTTTAGAAGATGAAGGAATACAAGATTAAATATAAATTTCAAATCCAAGATCTAAATTTAGTATAAAAATGAAATGATTAATGATATCAAACTCAAAAGTATATAAATATCTTCAGATTTTAAAATAGGATGAATGACCTAAATTATATATCAAATATCAATGAAATCATTGAAAAATAAAATATTAGTTTAGAAGAGATTATATAGATATAATATTAATCGTAAACTTTAAATAAAATTAATTTAATTACAGAAACTTTAAAATAAATGAAAAAAATAATAAAGACATTTAAAATTACAAATATTTTTAAAAAACATATCAATAGATAATATTAATATCAACCATTTGATTATTTTGTATGATTAATCAATACAAAAATATAGAATCAATATTTAGAATAGATAAATCAGTTTTATTAATTATTGTGTCTTAAAATCTCAACTTTATAAAAAGAAATTAATTTAAGCTTAAAATAAGTCATGCTAATCTTTATAAATTATGTAAATGTAAATAATTGATAGTTTAATATTAAAAAGGATCACTTTTTTTTGTTGATTTAAATAGTTGATGACCTCTTTTTTCGTTCATCATTTCTCCTAATTAAAATAGAAAAGTTATTATAATCTAAGGAGGAGATAGATCTAACTTTATTGACATCTATAGATTCAGTTTATAGTCGAGTTTTGGGTTTAATTATTTACTTGATTGTTTATTATGAAGGTATTCCATTTATCATTAAATATTGCTTTTGTAAGGTGATATATATACTCTTGATTGAGTGTCAGTTACACTCTTATCTGTTTCTATTCTTCTCCTTGATGCAACATCAATTTCTTTCTTTAATTGGATTATTTATCTTTCTTAAAGCTTAAAATTGAATAAGAATTTATACATCAATTTTCATTTAAAGAATTCTACATTACTCATCTTTTTAAGTAAGATTCTCTTATAATGAATCACAATGAATCTTCAATCTTTGTTCCACCTGAAATAAATGATAAAATGAACATGAATGTGATATCGATTTTCAGATTCATTTTTTTATAATGATTGTTCCAATAGCTCATATTATTCAGTTATTTCTTGATGTAATCTTTATGTATATTATGAGTTTACTCTATAAATTAATCTAGTATTCGAGTAATGTATTTAAATGCTACTGAAATATCATCTGGGAGTATAACACGTATATCAGAATAGCCAACTTGATTCAATTTGTTTTACAATTCTTCAAAATACTCTATGATTTATGATTTCAGATCACAATTTAATTAATTCATTAACTGAATAATGCTGTAGGAATCAAAATAAAACAGAGTGTGTGTTCCAACATAAAGTGCTATGCAAGAATAAATCTAATATGTAAGAGTATTGTAATAAAAAAGGTTACTTGTGGAGCTGAAAGTACATTTTGTATTACAATACAAAGAAAAGTGTTTATGTGGGGATAAGGAATACAAATTCCATAGTAATTAGATTTGCAGGAAATTGAATAGATAGCAGCTTCAAAAGAACATTGGTTTGCATGGTCAGATACATAGGTTTTTGGATGGTAAGTGTATGATAATTTAAAATATTAGTGGTTCAAACAAATAAGGAAAATTAGGTATGAATAATTCTGTAACTACTCCTACATTGTTTGATATTTTCAGTGAAGCTTCGTAATATGGATGGTAACTTTAAAAGATAGCAGTTGGATTGGATCATAGTGTAGCATTAATTGAAGTTGAGGATGAAAACAAGATTTTCGTTTGGGGTTCCAATACTTATTAATAATTGGGTTTCGATGCCTCAGAATAATTTGTTGCTATTCCTCATTAATTAGATTTAGATAATCTTCCTCGAATTGTAGATATTTATGCATAACATAATTATACAATGGCAATAGATGAAGAAGGTCGTCTATTTTCATGGGGTAGCAATGAATTTGGTCGTTTAGGATAAAATGCATTTGCCAAATGTATGAAATTACCATCTCCAATATCATCATTTGGCAATATTAAAATAGCAAAATTAGCCTTAGGAACATTTCATGTATTGGCAATTGATACTCAAGGAAATCTATATTCATGGGGTCGTGGATTATAAGGATAATTAGGACATGGGAATTCAAATGATTGTAGTAAACCAAATTAAATCAATTCTTTGTAATCAATTAAAGATATAGCTTGTGGAGAAGCTCATAGTATAGCATTATAAACTAATGGTTCAATTTATGTATTTGGATCAGGATAATTTGGATAATTGGGATTGGGAGATTATAAATAATAAGATACACCATAGATATTATAGATTAATGGAGAAATGATAGCATGTGGAAGACATCATTCAGCTGTACTGTCTAAAAATGGGGCATTGTATATGTTTGGAAACAATGAATAATATTAATTGGGTTTAGAATGTGGAAAGAGTGGTGCCTATTCGACTCCTTTGCCCAAATAAAGTCCTATGAATGTATTACAGCACTTATGCAATTTAGATAGACCAATTAAATTTTTGAGTTGACTGATGAATTTATGAATAAGATTGAGGCTAGTAGAAGTGAAGATCTTGAATAAGTAAGCCTATCTATTCATTATAGTTATTGGTTGAATATCAATAAAATACATCATAAATTCCAAATACACAAACAACTATTTTTATTAAGGATTTGATGGAGAGAGTAATTGCACTTTTAAAGAAGAAAAAATGAAACATATGATACGATATATTCTGAACATTCAAGTATATACTCTTTTTATTAAAATGTTAAATAAATTAAATTTTAATTAATGATGTAAGTTGATTATGAGGAGCTTCTTAAACGATTTCGATATTCCTATGTTAAGCCAAATGCTTAATTAAGACAATATTTATAATCTCTACCTTCTGACTAGTATCCTGATTTGTTCCAAAAGATTGAAAACTTAAACTATGATGCTTAAAAAATCAAAAGATTATTGAGAATGCTCAAAAAACCATAACAAATACCTCAATATTTTGATCTTAAATTAAGGAATAAGTTAAAAATTAATGAAAATGTACCTCATGAAATTGTTGACTTTAATAAGAAACACACATTAATTTTAACATCTCAACAATAGGGATAATAATTATTTGATAAATTAAAGGAAGAATTTTTTGTAGATTCCAAAATTAGAAAGAGTGGTATGTCTATTTTAATTCTATTAAAGATTCATTAACATTCAAGCATCAATTCTATAAGGCATTATAGGATAATTTGACTAATTAATGTATTGAATAATGTATTCGTTTACTAAAGAGATCTGAATAAAATATGGATACATTATATATAGTACTAAGTGAATTAGTTAACACAGAATATGATATTACACCATTATTAGGATCAATTCATAATGCATTGACAGAATTTATTAAAAATGATTTATCAATCACATGTTTAAAATTAGCACATTCTTGTGTAAAAGGTGATTTAACTATAGCAGTTTAATTTGTAGGTAAAATGATTTAAGGTACTCATGATGAGAATAGAAAATTTGCATTTCTTGGTACTCTTCCTCATAAATGTGAAAAATAAGTTGAAATCATATATAATTTGGCAACAATTCTAAATGATGATTAAAAAGTATTTGATATGGTCAAAAGAATGAGAGATCTATAAATTCCCTTAGGTAATTGGGCACATTTAAAGAAATTATTAAGTATCAATAAATATACAAATACATTTGTATCATTATTGGTTGTAGATTGGTTATTAGAAAAGAAATAGGAATCAAATAGTAAAGATTTAGAATCTGTTATGGAATAAATTGTTAATGGATTAGCTACAAATGTAAATAAATATATTTAATATTTTTTAGTTTAAGAATTTTGCTAAAGTAGTTACTTAACCAGTTATGTTCTTAGCTTAATTAAAATGTGTTGTTTTATATGCACTATTTTGTGAAGATGATGCACCAGCTAAATTAATGATTACAATTAATGAAAATTTGAATAAGAATACTGATATCTTCAATCCAAAAAGTCATTTATGTTAATTAAAGTATTTAATATCACCATCATGTTAAAATGAAAGTTAATTATTTTTGGATTGTTTATTTGTATATTAAGCAATTACATATGATGAAAATGATCAATTTAATTATTTATTACCATTAATAATATTAATAGCATTTAGTGGTAAAGTTAAGAATAGTGTAAATGTTAAATAATCATTAGAATTATTAACATTATTTAAAGCAATCGATATTAATATACTTTATAATAAAATATTTAAGACATTACATTAATTTTTATATTAAGTTAATCCATATTAAGGAGAAGGAATCAATTTCAGAAAAGATAGATTAATACATTTTGTTAGATTGATGATGGTTTAAATTGGAAATACATAAATTGAATCACCTCAGTATATTTACACTACCTTTTCTCATACATTTATTTCTCAATTACATTATAAATTACCAAAATATGAAATCGATGTTAATCCTATTAGTTGGTTTACTAATCATGGATTAATGAGTAATAATATATATACAGTTTAATCTACAATTAATTATTGTAGACTTCTAGTTGAATAAGGATATATAGATGATATTGTTAAACCAATTGAAGAATGGTTGAATCCATAAAACATTAATAAATTAAATAGTTTAGATCATTTAGATGAATAATTGGAATAATTGTAAATTGAATAATATGATCATACTATTTTATAATAATCAGGATTAAAATGGTTGACTGATAATAAACCAGTAGATGAAGCTGAAATGTAATTATAATAAGAATTAAAAAAATTTGAAAATAATAATGCAGTACTTATGGATGAAGGAGAAGCTAAGTAACAAATGTTATTGAAATAAAAGAATAAAATGTGTTAATAATATTCATTATGTTTACAATTATTTGAAGGTCTTCTTCACACTAAAGCCAAAGAATAATTTATTACAAAATATTTTGATAAAATATCTGCTTTTGCTAAAGAAATTTAAACTAGATATGATTGTTGTATGTTTTTACTAAAGTATTTTGAAACTAATCCCTTATTACAATAATTTAAATGGCCTCTTACATACTTCTTTTTAGAACGTAGTATGAATACTATCCCTAGTGATAAGATTATAGAAAAAATTAATTAATTTTAAGATTGTCTTTTGAAAGATATCAAAAACCCACCTATTCATCTAATTCATTTAATGAACTTATACATTATTAACTAAAATTCATTTACTCCTATTACTAAGTTCAAGACTTTTGCAATCATTCTTAAATATAAAGATTAATTAGCTATTAAAGAATATTTTACACCATTTGTTCTTAACATTAATATTTGTGGACATGCCAAAAATGCAGGATAAGTATTACAATTAATTTTCAATAAAGATAGTGAAGAACATTATCATTTATTCTTTAATAATATTTTGAATCTTGTACCTGAAGCTTAAAATTTAATTTTAAAAACAATACCAAGTTTACCTGATAATTTTGACATTCATATTAAAGTAAGAGTATTAGCAGAATTTGATGAAACAAAAGAAGCTGCCTAACCTTTTATAGATAAGGAATTTAAAGTTTTAAATTAACTCTAAAAATGGGACATTGTAAGTTTTGTCAAGAAATTCCCAAGGGAACATAGTGAATTCATGATTAATATATTAAATGATGTAAATGGATTTCCAGAGATGATAATATAAGCAGCATCTAAATTAGTTGTTGATTAATAATTATAAGAAGAATAATTAGAATTCTTTCCATATTTTGTTAGCAAATAATTAAACACTTATCCTAAATAATTAATTGGTAAAACAATAGATTTATTAATTTAATATTCATCTACTCCAGAAAGATAATAATTAGCTGTATTATGTAGAGAAGCAGGAGTATAATTAATTAAATGTGTAGGTAAAGAAAATTCTAATGATATTTTGAATTAAATTGAAAATCATCTTCAATCAAAAAATACTTGTGCATCTATACGTGCCATAACATTTTTAGGTGTTTTATCTTAATTTTTATAAGGACACAATTAACGTAAAACTTAAGAATAAATTGTCTAATTATTTAGAAACAGTGACAAAGATTCATAATTGGAATTAGCTCGTTCTTTATAAGAATTATTAAGTTTTTTCCCTGATACTGATAATTTAGTTATTGAATTATTGAAATCTAACAAACAAGAAAAAGATGAAAAAGTAAAGAGAGGAAATGCATATATGATTGCAGGTTTAATAAAAGGTTTAGGTGTAGAAATGATGGAAAAGTTGGGTATTTTGGAATTATTAGAAGTCAAAGAGAAAAAAGAGAGTGTAGAGGATAAATTCTATGTTCTAATATAATTATAAGCTATGATTGAAATATTTTAAAAGACAATAGAACCATATGTATTAAAAGTGATGGGCATTTTAATGAAATATTTTGGAGAAGGTAGAGTGGAAGTACGTAATTTAGCAATGACAAATGCAAGTAGACTATTGTAATCTCTCTCAAGTTATGGTGTTAAGATTATGCTTTAACCATTACTTGAAGGTTTAGATTCTGATACTTAATGGAGAGCTAAAGTTGCCAATATTTGGGCATTAGGACATTTGGCACATTGTTCACCAAAATAATTATCAAGTTGTCTTCCTTAGATTGTTAATTCAATTTCTAAAGCTATTTCTGATACTCATCCTGATGTAAAAGCAGAAGCTAATAAATCATTGAATGAAATAGGATCTACTATTAAAAATCCAGAAATTTCAAGTATTGCAGATATACTCATTATCTCATTATCAAATCCTTATGATGAAAATTTAAGAGGATTATAAGTTGTATTGGAAACAAAGTTCAGACATTATATTGATGCTCCAGCTATGTCATTATTGATTCCAATTATAGATTATGGTCTTAGAGCATAAGACAGTGATTAAAGAAGATAAGCTTCTATTTTAATAGGAGGTTTACCTCATTTAATATAGAAAAGTGATGATTTAGTACCTTATATGAATTTGATAACTGGTGGATTGGAAGTAGTAATTGGAGATCCTTTATTGGAAGTGAGAACAGTTGCAGCAAAAGCAATTGGTTAATTATCACAAAAGATTGGAATTGAAAATACAAAGACATTCTTTAAATTTATATGGGATGTATTGGAGAATAAAGAAGCAAGTACAAATAAAAGATCAGGTGCAGCACATGCATTTGCTGAGATTTCTTGTATTCATGGAGATAATTATTTAGAGGAATAATTATAATTTATATTTAGTTAGATTTAGAGACCAGAAATATATGTTAAAGAAGGATATATAGGAATATTTATTTATATTCCAAGTATTTTATAATAGAAATTTGAAAATTATGTAAAAGATGTAATTGAAAATGTTTATGAATGTGTAAGTCATGAAGATGATGTAGTAAGTAGTATTACATTAAGAGTATTAAAGATTTTAATTAAGAATTTTGGTATTTTATAGAATGAATTATTATATCCATCATTGACAGAGACTATGTTAAATGAGGATGCAAAAAAACGTAATGCAGGAACTATTTTAAGTGGAGAAATGCTCAAAATAACATAAAAATATGTGTTTGCTTAATTAAATAATCCAGATAGTCAACAATATATTAATATTGATTTATATTATTTGAATTTGATGACATTATATACAATGTAATAGGATGTTGCAGATATTGTTAGATAAAATGCAGTTGCAATTTGGAAGGAATTTATAGATAATACTCCAAAAACTTTAAAGAAAGGATTGAAATAATATGTTATTTAATTGTGTAATATTATGAGTAGAGATCGTGTTGTATAAAATGGTATTAATAGTATTAGAAATTTCTGTGAAAAATATGGAGAAACTTAAATGAGTGAAGCATTTAATCATATAGGTTTTGTCTTATAAAATTATTAACACAATTTATCATTAGTTAAGGGAGCTTATTCAGCATTAAATCAAATTTATATTCATATATCTTTAGATATAGCTACAAGATATAGAGATCAATTTATTGAATATTCAAGATTGTATATCTTTTGTTAAGATAACTTAGTTAAATCTTAATTATTTTAATCAATAGGTACAATGATTAATAAAGTTAAGTAAACTACATTTGTTGAATTAATCATTGAACCATATTTAAATGACTTATCTAATATGAATGAAAATGATCCTAGATATTCAGGTTATTTAGAAGTATTTTCCAGATTATGTTAATTGAATTAGACTTTAGTATTGCATTATTTGATAGTGTTAATTTTGGTACCACCTCTACATTAATTCAAAATTGATATTCTAACTAATAATGCATCCACATTCTCTAGTGTCATATATAAAAAGTATGAAAACAAAATACCAATCCAGATATTGTTTAATGATCTCTATTCATGTGCTGATTTCAATGATCATAATGAATGGAATGATAGAACTGAGTCTCTAATTTATTGTATTTAATAATTGAGTATTCACATCAAATCTGATATTGAAAATTACTTAGCAATATTTATAGAAGATATTCTTAGATAATTATAAACTAAAAGTAAACCAATCTTTGAATCTGAAGCATAACCTAATGACTATAAACATTGTCTTATTCCTTTAGAAGTATTATAATACTTCTTATAAAATACATCTGAAGATCATTAACAATTCTCTTAAGCAATTATTGAGAAAGTGGCTCCATTCTTATATTTATAATCAACTAGCCTTTCTAAAGAATAAAGTGAAAAATTCTATAATTTAGCCAATAAAATCATTTATGCAATCAATAACACATTAGATAAACAACATCATTTTGACAATATGCGTAACATACATACTTGTTTTATGAATCGTATCAATATACATTAAATACCTGGTCTCAGTATTTAAGATGGAGCAGGAATATAACCATATGTTTCAATGCTCATTGATAGTTTTGTATTTGGCAAAGAAGAAACATTCAAATATGCCTATGATTTCATGAAAATTCTTATAAGATCTGCTGAATAATAATCACTTCAGATTTATATTCTTAAATTGGTTGGTGCTCTTATACGTATTTTAAATTATAAGGGAAATAATGAAATGAAAGTTTTAGCATTATAATTAATACAATAATCCCAAGAGAAAGGACTTTAACTTCAACAATTTAAACCATAATTGACTATAACATATGAAAAATTAATAGTAGACATTAACTTAGTAGAGAGAGGATTAAAATAATTGTCAAAGAATTATAGTTAATTCCTTAAATTGCATGATAAAAAAGTATAATTATTATTCTAATCTTAATAGGATTTAATTATGAATCAACTCTTTAATAAGGGTGTATAAAGTACTACTTAAGAGGCAAGAGAATGCCATTTAAAGATAGTAAAGAAGGCAATTAAAGATTAATAAGAGTAAGTATATTCTTCTGCTGTCTTAGAAAGGTTTTTCACACTTTCTAAATAATATTTTGAGAAGTGTATTCAAAATTAAAGATTTGATGTTGCTTCTCCTTGTGAATTGAATCGTTTAGGTATTTATATGTATTATATTTAATTAGCTCATATACTTGCATTAACATATAATTACACTAATAAAAATAATAAAGAGTAATATGTTTAGAAGTATATTAAATTTGATCAATATGGTTTGCTATTAAGATTACAATTTGTCAGATATTAAAATAAAGAATTAATACCTGACACAATATCATATGCAATTGAATAAATCAATACTAATGAGAACATGTCTTATGTGCTTTAATTATTGAGAACCTTAAGAAAATTCCCAAATCTATAAGTTAAATAATAATTAAAGCCAAAATTCATGGAGATTCCAGAAATTTTAAGTGCGTTATCAAGATTATAATGATATAAAATATATTAAATAACAGTCATAATAATGATAGAGTCTTTCAAATAACAATGTGAGCAGATTTATTCTGAAAACTAAGAAAGTAACATCTGATATCATATTGTAGTTATAAAATAGTTAAACAAACTTAAGCAAAGTACATTAGAAAATAATCAAGAAATATTGAAATTACAAAATCTAGTTAAAGGAGTTGAATAAGAATATTAGCCAATTCGTGATAAAATATAATCAATTAAAGATTAATTCTAAGATTCAGAACTCAATAAATAAGTAATATATGATTCCTTTGATGAACTTGAAAATATAATTATTCGTTAGATTGCTGAATAATTTAAATTAAACAAAAAGTCAAAAAAGACATAAAAAAAGGAATCACCTTAAATAGGAAAAATTAATAATGAAAATGATTAAAACACAATCAATCTAAGAAAAAGAACAATTAAGTAATAAAACATTGATGAAAATTCTGAAATAAGTGAATCAAGTGAACCAATAAAAGCATAAAAAAAGAAAGTTAAAACTAATTTTGAAGCCTTAGATAAAGCTAATTGTCTAATTAACGAAATATTTAATTTTAATTGAACATTATCTATTTAACAATAATTTTATTTATCTATCAATGGGAAATAACAATGTCTGTTTAGCTGAAATACCTGTCTATCGAACTAATCACACCTCACCTAAAACAAAAACAAAATGGAAAAGAGAAGATTTAAAATCTGGCTCTTGTATATAAACAATTGTCGATAAAGAAAACAACCCAGATTTCTTTTCTCAGTACTAATGTGGTTAAGAACTACCTTAATATCGCAATAAATTAGCTTAATCAAAATGGTCTGAAGCTTTCAATAGTAGTTTAAGTATAATTAATGATTCATAACAAACTATTAATTCTCTGATTGATAAACCTGAATTCAAGGAACTAGTGTTATTAGGTCCACCTAAGTAATTTAGATGGCTTAGTTGGATGAATTTATTAACAAAATCCTAACCTCCTATTAGTTATGAAAAATATTTAGAAAATCCACCAACAGACATATCTAATATTATGAAAGATATAGATCGTACTTTTGTTGATAATGCTTTATTTTCTCACTAAAGTTGTGGATAAGAACAATTAAAAAGAGTACTTTGTGCTCTATCTAATGCTTTGCCAACTATGGGTTATTGTTAAGGTATGAATTTCATTTGTGCTGTTCTTCTTATTGTATCAGGTTGTGATGAACATCAAGTATTTTAAGCCTTTATGTAAATGCTTATTAATGAATAACATCTTCTATGTTTTGCTTTTTCTGATGATATGCCATTACACTTTTTTTTAACTAACTTAATACATTATCAAATTAGAAAGAAATTTCCAAAACTTAACTTAAGTGATATAAATGATTCATTTTGGCTTAGTAAAATGATATTATCACTTTTCACATATGTATTCAAAATGGAAGACTGTATAAGATGCTGGGATTATTTAATGGTTCGTGGTATGATTCGTGGTATTCCTGAATTAATTCTAGCATTTATTGATGCAACATATAATTAATTATCTAAATTTTAAGAGGAAGATTTTGCTTATAATTTTAAAGGTCCTGAAACAACAACAATTTAATTTAATGTTGGTGAACTCATTTATTTAGCTAAATCTAATCATAATTTAGATAGATCATTTATATCAAAATTTGCTAAGAAAATGAGAGACAAAAACACACCTTCATAATTATTAGACCTTTTATAATATTACCACAATCCTCAACTCTATAAAAAACATGTATCCTTTTATGTTAGCACTATTTTTGATTTATGTTGATATATATATATATATTAGTTTTTTTAATAAATCATATAACTATTTTTATTACTCTAACTTAATAACAATATAGATATTTTAACAATAAATTTTTAAGAACCATATTTAAGTAAGATAAATAGTAATTAATAATAATTCATAATTCAAAATGTCGTTAAAAAAAATAAAATTAATTATTTATTGATTGAAATTAATATTAGATTATATTATTCAATAAAAATATCAAATTCTTTAAATAATTTTTAATACTTTATTATTAAAATTCAAAAATTAAAAACAATTAAATGTTTTATTAGATAAGTGAAGTGGATTACAATTAATATTGTTATAATTTAATTAATTATGAAAAAGAAAAGTCAAAGTAAAGGAAACACTCAAAAATTATAAGTTGAAGTGGATATTATGGTTTAATCCTTTTTATTTGCATAGGAATAAAGAATTGTTGGATTTAAATAAATATAGTAATCAATTTTGTATAGTTATTATATTACAATCTCAAAAAGAATCTGCTAAAGAAAAAAATTGTTATTAAGCTAAGGATCCACAAGACTAATGTTCTTTTGAAGAGTACATAACTAAAATACTACATTTAGATTATGGAAAACATGTTTTAGAAAAACATAAGGAATTTGCAAAGACATTCCAACAGAAAAATAAACTAAATAAAGTGTCATCTAGACCATCATCTCGTTCAAGTTCACTTTCTAAATAGACCAAACAATCAGAAACTTAATCATAATAGAATCAGAGCTATTTTATATAGAGTTTGAATCTTACATGCAAGAATTCAGCAAATGAAAATTTGAAACGGGCACTTCAAGTCTAATAATATAAATCTTACAGACTTAGATTAGATAGAATATTCTAATGAAGTTGTCAAATTTCTCAATTCCATTAATCTTGATAAACAGGCAGGAGTAATACTTGAAAATGGATTTGATAAGATGGATCTTTTATAAGAAATTTCAGTCGATAATTTAAAAACATGAATATACCCACTATGAATGCAAGTAAATTATAGAACAAAGTGCAAAAATTAGTGGAAATTGAAAAAAGAAAGCTTCTTCAATCTTAAAAATAGACTTAACGTTTAAAAAAATCTTAAAGTCATAAAGAGGAGATAGCTAATTCAGAAATTTACAATGAGGAAGAACAACACAGATTATTTTAGGAAGCTGTTATAGAATATAGAAAATAATAAAAATAATAGGCATTATAAAATACAGAGAAAATATTAATTGAAAATGAATCATTAGGGTACATATCAAGTAGATAGAATAAAAAAGAAGAATAACAAAGAAATAAGATGAAATTTCTTTTATCAGAAGCAAATGAATGGAAAATGTTTGATATTGATTCTGATTAAAAATAAAGGACTGATTAATAACCTATTATTATTGATAAAATAACTTGTTATTAATGTTATAGATTATTCGATTAGAAATATGTAATATTCAACAATAGCAGATAATTATGTACATAAGAGTGTCTTGAATCATTTAAACTATAAAATATAATTATCAAATTATATGAATTTTTAGTATCTATGTTGGTCTTAGTCATATGATAAACAAATTGATATTTCTTAAGCATTTTATGAAATTAGTTAATGGTTCTGTAATTAAGATTGTTTTTAATAATATCAATTGGAAAGTATTAATATTAGAGGAAGAACACATATTAGTTTATGATAATTAAATAGATATATATTTACATATAAAACTATAGAGTTTTTATAAAATATTTTTTATATGTAATTTTAATAATCAAATTTTAGGATGAGGAATGTGCACCTTTGAAGGAACCTTGACCATCAACTACTTAAAATGTCCCACTTTTGCTTCTCTTGTAGATTTTCCTACACTGAATGCAGGATACGATTTCTTTTTGGAATTCACTTATACTCCTACAGCAATTCTTTATTATCTTATTAAGATTACTATTTAGTATCGTATGTTTGATTTTTATCCCAGCCTTCAAAGTACTTGCCAATTTTTGGTCCTTTTGGAATGGTCCAACGGGAAGCGTCTTCCAAATTGCTTGTATTAGCAGGAGGCTTTTGTAAATAGGCTCCAGGTCCAACTATAACTGGAGTAGAACATGTAGGGGCTAATGCTGATGCTCCTGGGATATCTCTTCTATATCCAAAGGAAAATTGAGGTGGAGTTGGTACCTCAGGTTTAATGGCTGGATCATATTGAGGACCAGGTGTTCCTTTGAGTCTTTTTTCAGGAGGAAACTATAAAATATTAAGAAAGAAATACTCTTGATTCTAATCCAATTTTAACATTTGCAGCTTTTGGTTTTCTATTTAAATCTGCTTCTTAAGGTTCAAACTTGTATAGAATAAGTAATTTACATCAACATCCTTTCTTTGATAATAATCAAATTTAGCACCTGTATTTAATGTATTACGAGGATCAGTTCCAAATTTTGTATTTGCATCCTTTGTATAATAAAATTGATCTCCTCCTCTAACATTATAAACTGGTCCAGGACTTCCCTTTCCTTAAAAGACTAAGATTGATTGATACCTGCAAAATCAATTCTGGCAAGTTCTTTATTATGATAGAGCTTTGCTTGATTAGCACGCTCAGCAGAACCGAAACTGTAACTTGGTAGTGTTTGTTTAGTTGAAATAGGCATTTTTCCAATGGAACTAAAAGCTTATTTATTTTCAAATTCAATCAAGTCTGCATATGAATACACTTTTGGTTGAGCTTTAACTTCTTCTTTTGTTTCTGCCATTTTATATATTAATATTATTAAAAATATATTAAACAAATATTTACATATTTAGATAACTCAAAAGTATAAATTAATTGTATTATTCACTCTATCTTTCTTTTGAGTTTCTACCTTAATGCATTATCCTAATCTTAAGAGAATTAGTCTAAAAATATAAATAATTTATACTTGATCACCATCTTCTATATTTTATCATTCTACCATAAAGGTAATAAAAATTCTTAAGTGATTTAATTAGCTTGAATATTAATTCTAATATATTAATAATATGATACTTCTATATTCCAGGTATATCCATAATCACCTATCCAATTTTACCATCAATTTTACTCTATTATTCAAATTTAAATGTAACACTTCCACATACCATCAATCGATCATCGTAATAATCTATACCATCTTTTTTAATTTCATATAATATTCCTTCAAAGTTTTATTCATCTAAACTTTCTACATTAATAAAATTCATTTATTTTTATGGATCTACTTTTTCTTCATATTTATTAATAATATCTATAAGAATTGTTTAAATATAATTTTCCATAATAAATCCTCCATCTTAAAAAGAATCTTAATATGATTATGTAGTTATGTATTCCATTTTGATATTTTATACTAAAGAGAAAATTAACTATAATTATAATTATAATTATATATACTTTCTCCCATTTTTATATATCTTAACACCAATCTAAAAGTTCAAGAAATGATATTAAGATTTCTTTAGGATTTCTATGACCAAAACATATTTGTATTTTATCAAAATTGTAATCATGATTTTTAATGTGATTCATTAAAGAATCAATAATGAAAAAATTGTTTTTCTTTTTTTCATATACTTCAGAAATTAATTTTAATGGTTAAAATGCTTATTGATCATTAGATTCTGCTAAATAAAGCTCATCTAATTTAGAATAATATGACATCCATAATTTATCAATAATTTACTTAACTTATTCAATCCAATCAATGAATTAAACTTAAATGCTTATATTAGATTTTAATTATTCATTATTTTAACATTCAAACTTTTATTTCCATAATTTTAAATCTTAACTAAAATTTTCATTTTTTTATAAATTATATAAAATATAATTTCTAATGAAATCTATTAATATATATCTAAATTGTTATACCAAATTATTAATCTGAATTCTATTTATTCATAAATGATTTTGTTTCTTCCAAATCCAATTATATTTAAATCTCTTTATCCTTAATATAAATTATTAAATACAATTACTTTTAATAATTCATCTATTGCAATATCTTTCACATTTTATATTCTAAATGTATTTATCATATGATTCTTCATTTTTATTGCAGCTTATGCCAAATTGTATTAATTTGTACCAAATAATTTTGAAAATTATGTTACAAACATATTAGAAACTCTAAAAAGTAAAAAATAAATATTTTACACTTTCTTTTCTATAATAGTATTTCCTACAATTTATTTAGAAATAAGTGCATTTATATGATCTTCTTATAAATTATTTTATTTCAATGTTTTAAATAGCTAAATATGTTAGTTGAATATTTCATAAATTTTTGTTACTTGAATTATAATCTACTTAATAGAATACTTAATTGTTAATTGCATTGATCAAATAATAAGGATTCTACAGCTGTCTTGTATTTAAGATCTCCGAATTACATTCTTGTGTTTATAAAGGAATGTAGTTAATGATCATCCATTCTATTATATTGTTTAATTTATAATTGTTAGGTATTGTATTAATATTTTAAATTCTCAAATGTAGTTTTCAAAATAAGAAGCAATACTAAAGGAATTATTTGAAGATGATTATTTTACTCAAATAATTACACATCCATCTGTATAATCACCATATGAAGAATTAACATGTGCTATTTGTTATAATCTCTTTGATATTCCAATCATTTTACCAGATTGTAAACATACATTTTGCAGAGACTGTTTAGATTAATGGGTTAGTAAATAAGCAATGAATTGTCCTCTTTGTAGAATAGATGTTTCACATTATTTAAGTATTGATATCTATAAGATTATTAAAGCAAATAAATAATTGAAATTTAGTCTTATTGATTTTAACACTATGTTTTTGATTGATAACATTGAAGTTAAATGTCCTAATTGTAATTGGAAAGGTAAAACTAAAGATCTTAAACTTCATTAATAAAAATATTGTAATCTTATGTCATGTCCATTAAATTGTAATTTAAAATTCACTTCATAAGAACTTGAATTTCATAAAGATATTTGTAAATATAGAATTATTAAATGTCCATAATATTGTGGTGAAGAATTTGAGGCTCATAAAATATTTAATCATCTCTAAAATTGTATGTACACTTATAAAGAATGCAATAAATGTAATTGTATTTTATAAGGTATAAAAATGTTGAATCATAATTGTAATATTGATTCTTGTAGAAATTCTTAATTTGGATGCAAAAAATAAGAATTGCATACAAATTGTGATTTTGAATTTAATTATTGTAAGAATTGTTACGATTTCTTAATGAATAAAGATTTGTAGACTCATACATGTTAAATTTAGAATACCATATAAGAAGTATTAAAATCCTATTAAAATCAATTGCTAGAATCTTTATAACCAGTTAAACATGATCTAAAACTATTAGAAAATGCTATGAAAAAATGTCAATAAGAGTCAATATTATTATTAGATGTACCAGCTGATAAAGTAAATATAGTTGAAATATTATAATAATTTGGACCAATTTAAAATATGAAATAATATTTGAACTTCCCTAATCTTGACTAAAAGAAGGTAGCTGTTAGATATTTTAATGTAAATTCTGCACTTTGTTGTAAGAAATATATTAAAATATTTGGAATTACAACTTAATCTTTGGAAATAGGATAAAAATAAATTAAACAATTACCAAAATAAAAAATTTCATGATTTATTTAATATATATGAGTATATAATTAACTAAGAAAAATGAATATTAAACTATATTGAGCATTACCAGAAATATTTAATGTTCTCCTTAAAATTATTTTTAAACATTCAAAATATTACTATGGTAAAAGATAAGGCATCCTTCATATATTAATAGATAAAAGACTATTAATATGTATATGATCTTGTTATAAATTGTTAAGAAATTTATAACAAAAAGATAAGAAAGTATATAAAATAAAAAAACATTATTTTGTATGATTTCTCTTTATTAAAAATATGTGGTGTAGAAATATATATGAAAGAGTATAATTATGGATCAAACTTATATATATTTATTTTTCATTTTTATTTATGTACAATTTAATAACAAGCATCATCCTCCTCCAATAAATATATAAACCAAAATTTTAAGAAAAAATTACACTAGAATTTAAAATTATCAGACTCATTATCTTTATTTATTTTTAGATGTTATTAAAATAATTCGAGATGTCTTATTTGATATGAAAATCAAAACTCTTGATCCATATGTTTTTTAAGCTGTAAATGATCTAGTACTAAAGTAGTAAAAATAAGATATGCTATTTATAAATTATATGAAGAATTAGATGTATATTGTAATATTAATATAATATTTTAATAGTAGAAAAGAATAACTTAAATCCAATGTAAACATCACTTTATCAGAGTACTTTTATAAATTGTAAATTAGAAGATGAAAAACCCACTTTAGAGTAGCTATCTCAAATATTTAAATCTCTATACAGAATTCACTATTTTTTTTTTAATTTAATTTCTAATCCTTTATTCAATAATTTATAAAATATAGTTGTCTTTGTAAATTTTAGAGTTTTGTATAATAAAAAACAAAAAGACATAGATGGAATTATGACTGATTACCTAAGTATTTTTAATTAATAATAATATGGAAAATAGGGATTTCTATAAATTTATAATATATTTAATTTAAAAAATTATTATTAATAAAATATTGTATTTGATATTCATAGTATATTATAATTTATTATAATAATGGATTATTTGTTAATTAAATAGATGATCAAAATAAAAACTAATTGGAATGACTAATAATTATTTATATATTAATTCTAAAATTAAAATATATATTAGAAGTATTTTAATTAAAGATATTATTTTATAGTAATTTAACTAATCATAATATGATGAAGATGATCAATTAAAAACTAAATGATTTATGAGGAAATTCAAATTTTATTATAATTATCAGTGAAATTTTATAATTCATACCCTTATCATTACTTTTAAAATAAATAATTGTAAATTTAATTATATTGTCTTTTAAAATCAAAATTAAGATTATAGGAGTTCTTAAATTCTTATATTTATAATTTAGGATTGTAATATGATAAAAATGTCATCGAAATTAAAATGTATAACATATTAAATCGTTTTTATATGATTTATAAATACTTTTAATTTAATTTTATACAAATTACATTAATAATCTTAAATCTATAATGATATTTTAGATTATGATAATTCTTATATATTATTGAATGAGATAATAATATCAATTATATTCATGAATAATCATTTTGAGTTGGTAATTAAATAAATATAAGATAATATTGTGATAATTTAAGAAGATTGATTCAATGGTATTCTCAAATTAATATAAATAATTGATAATAATATTAAAAAATTAATAAAATCAACACGTATTATCACAACAGTTAATTTATTTATTCTTATTAAGAGGATATAATAATTCAAAAAAATAACAATATATGGCACTAAAATTGAAGTTCTCCATTCAAACAGATTGTAATTAATTTGAAATAATTTTATTATGATGAAATAATTCAAATTAGTTTCAATTAATTTTGAAGTGATACTCAGTAAATTATTTTAGATGGTCAGTTGTGTTCATACTGGAGATTATTTATGCTGAAATAAGAAATGCAGAAAAAATATATTTTTAATTAAAAATACTTTAGTATTTAAAGATTTTATGAAGCCAACCTATGTTTATTCAAATCCTGTACTGAGTCTTCTGAGCTCTAACTCAACTTAAAGTAGTCCAATGACTACAAGTGAATTGAATGATTCAATCGAATACTATATGGACTAAAAAGACTATCAGACTGAAGTTGAAATAGTTAAGTATCTGCATGGTTTGGGAGTGCGGACAAAAACAGATCCTTTGATTAAAGAATAACAATATTGGAAAGAAAGAAAACAGATGAGTTAAATAATATCAGAGACTATTGTCAACTCTTCTGAAAGGTTAGTACTAAATCCAACCGTAAATCGATTGTTAAGAAAGAATGTAACATAAATACCAAGGAATTCAAATAGTCCCTATTTCTTACTGGATTAATTATGATTCTCCTTTTTATCAAATCATATATATCTCTATATAACTGAATTCAATAAACCATAATTAATTAGTTATTCATTAATAAACAAAGTAGCCTGATGTCTTTCTCTCAATAGATTCAAATTCAATAGATTATTTATATTCGAATCTAAACAGATCTGGAAATTCCCTTTCAATTATATCCTTTGTTTCTTGAGATACTTACACAAACCCTTTGGCTCCTTTTGATTCCATTTTATTTGCAATCAATACATCAGGTCCATAAATATCATACCTAACTAATTCTGTACCAAGAACACCACCAATTATGGATCCCTAATTTAATAAAATACAATAAACATACAGTATGAACTCCAATTCTCATATCTAAAGTAGGATGATTGATATGGGCTCTTACTCTTCTTATAGCATCAATCATTGCAAATCCCATTCGTACTACATTAACTGCTTCTTATGATGGATTTCTTTAGATTCCTTTACCATAATCAATCATTCCCATAACAACATAACAATCTCCAATGGTGTAGAGTTTGAAAACGTTGTGCAAAAGACAATTTTTATCAAATTCAGTAAACAGATTTCTCAACATATTTACTACTTATTCAGGTTGTACTTTGCTTGAATACTCTGTAAAACCAGCAATATCAGCAAATAATAAGGTTACTTCATCAGCCTATTCTCTTAATACACGTTTTTCTTCGTTTGGTCTGAAAAATTCTTCAAGGACCTAATTAATAGAAATAAATTAATTTATACATTTTTAGGCAATAAATAATTCAATAAAAATTAGTATTTCATTGATTTTTCAATTAATTATTTGTTGACATTATATGAATTTACATTCTTTAAGAACATAAACAATTAAATGCAAAAGGCGAATATCGAAATTATAGCTAGATAATAGAATCTACTCCATGGCCAATCATTTACTATAATAGCAGCAATTGTCACTCCTAAAAAAAGAACTAGATAGACTAACTTATTATAATGTCTAAGAATTCTATTAAGAAGAACACTTAAACTATATATGATTCCTTTAGCTATTTAAATTTCATAATAATCAGTAATTAAAAAACAATCCAATGCATAACTTCCAAGTAACAAATAAGCTAATATTAAGAAGTATATGACATTATAATAAGATTCATATTTATGTATAAGAGTACATAATAATATATGTAATAAACCAATAATTATACCACTTATTAAATTAATTAAGTATATCTATCCTTTCAATGTAATACAAGAAACTGAACTTATTAAAACACATGAGCCAATAGTCAATAAATTTTGAACAGCAAATGGTCTATACAATGAAGATAGAAATTCATAAAATTCTAATGTAGCAGTATTATCTTCATTAAATTCCAAATATAATCTCTTTGGATTAAGAGTCAATAATAAGTTTTGACCTTAAGAATCTTCATCAACACTGTAAAGAGCCTTGATTTTATCCTTTTCAACATGATATTCCATATTTAATTGATAATCTGAAACATTTAATTCACATCTAGTCTTTCTTTCCAATAATTGAATTAAATATTTATTTTTTTAATTTCTATCATCATATCCTTAAGATTAAATACCACCAACAATTGATTATGAAGCATAATTTTTTGATGATCCACCTCCTTAATTTAAAAATATTTAAGCTTAAGATTATTAAAAAAGCATTTATTATTAAAGTGATCTATTTGGACTCTCAATCATAATTTATTTTTGTGTTTTTGTTACATAATTATAAATTTCATTTCTTTGTCTTTTATTGAGAGTTAATGGTTAATGATCTTCATTTCTATTTACAAGAGGTTATACTTCCCTATTTGATCCCATACCTAATTCTGATAATTAATTCTCATGAATTTAATCTAAATTTTAGTAATCTTTTGGGTCTCTAAATGGTTATTTTGGTGGTTTTTGAATCATAATTGTTTACTTTCTTTGTTTACCTCCTCTTTTTGTATTAACAACATAAGTAATCAATTTTCCCTTTCCTTTAGCTTCAACATCCCTTTAAATATAAACTAATTCAAATTTATTAGTCTATCTATATGCTTATTCAGAAATAGCAATATTCCAAGGTTCAGCTGTTGAACAAATCCTACTTGCTGTATTAATAGTGTCACCAATCAAACTAAATTATGGTTTATGATGACCAATGACTCCTGCTATGACATTTCCATAATGAATACCAATTTTAATTTAAAAAGTTTCATTAGACATAACATACTTTTTCATATCTAACGCCAATGAAATTACTTTATTAACAGGATTAGATTTTTAACTTACATGAATTTTGAGTCCAGCTGCAGCCATATAAGTTTTGCCCACAGTCTCAATCTTTTGAACTTCATGTTGTTAACATAGTAAATCAAATCTTCTAAATAACTTATCTAATATATCAACTACATTTGATTGTTCATTCTTTATCAATTGATCGAAATCAATGATATCACAAAATAATACTGCCACCATACCTTAATCTTCTTAAATATCATATTGACCAGCCTTATTAATACGATCTCTAATAAATTAAGGAAGAAGAATAGATAAGATATCACTCATTATTTAATTCTCTTTATTCATATTAATCCTACCTAAAAATACTTCCAAAAATATATAAATAATTCTTCTGAATGTTAAAACCAATTGAAACAATGATGCTAAACTCATAACATATTAATTGATCAGAATATATATGTCATTTTCATTTGATTTTTTAATTAAATAAATTGCCACATAAATAGCAGAAAATACTTAACTAATGAGTGGTTATTCTTGATAATGATATATATTAACTGCCAAACTCAATTATAACATATTGAGATTCATTCCTCCTACAGATTAATCTTAATTGAATAACCATATTATAATAGAGGAACATCGAATAAATAAAATAATGAAATTTACTTAATAGAAATATACTTTATAATATCGAGACCAACAAAATAACATAAGCAATAATAGTACTCCAAACATTGATATGTAATAATAATCTGTCCAATATGATAATGAAAAATTATCAACAGTCAATAAAATAATTGTATATGTTGCTATCTCATAAAATAAAAATGTAAGTGCAACTATTATTCTATAAGTTCGTGCAACATATTAAAGAATATCATCTGTAAATTTATTTTATACTAATTTTGATTTGAATCTCAGAGTAATTGAATTAATAGAATTTTCAGACTCATCAGCAAATGCTCCATTCAACATCTATTTTATAATTGGATCCATATCTTCATCTCCATGAAAGAGTTTCCTTGCAAAATATGAGATTTTTTCAATTGTTGCTCTATGTAATTAAATTTATTTAGAAATATCACCTGATATTTTATTATATATTTTAACAATCTAATCATATTCATTAGTTGTCTAAATGGCCAAAGGCATATAAAACGGTCTATTGATATGATAAAGTATTAAATTAAAAATTACATGGATTGCCATTATGAATATGAATGAAAATAGATTTTAGATAGATGCTGCCCATTAATAAATGATGGAAATTGAATCAAATTAAAGAGATATTAATGTATATAATCCAAAAGTTAATCCTATGTTAAATACAAATTATTTTTAAGTGATATAGTTTCTTTAAACTAATTTTAAAGCATCTACAATAAGTAATAATAGAAATAAGCCTGATCCTAATTCATTAGATTTTATGACTATTCCATTATTAGTTGATAGATCTGCATATTCTGTATATAAATTAATTAATAATGCTTGAATTAGTGGTACTAATGTGATTCGTGCTATATATTTGCCAAATTTATTATTGTTCAATTCTAATTAATCATTTTTAAATAAAAAATACATAAACTCACTGTGATTGAAATTTTCAACCTTTTCACTTATTTCACTAATAATAAAAGAACTTGATAATAAAAAGAATATATTAGAGTGAAACTTTAAATAATCTTTAGTTATCACTTCATGTTCATCTCTAATCAATTAAGTAATACATAACAAATATATTATACCAAAACTTCTAAATAATGAAAATATTAGAATTCTCTCAAAATATAAAGCTGATTTTCTAGAATCTAATGCTATCATTCTGTGTATTAATTCAAAATCTTTTATATATATATCACTATTATATAAAGGTTCAATACAACCATGATCTTATTTGTGTTAACAAAATTATGATTCTTAATCCAATTATTTTATAGAAACTCTATCATGTTGAAGATCTTCAAAATTATTTTTATCATGTGGAAATATTTATCTTCCAGATTACATTTAAAATACAAAATCTGAATGATTAAATAAATTGATATCACTAAAACTATCCCCTATAGATAATATAAATTTATAATTTAATTTTGTATCTTTTAATAATTTTACTAAAATAGATTTTTATTATGGTGTCATCCTATAACCAATAAAATTAGATGTAAATTAAAATAGAAATTAAAAATGTTTCTTTAAATAAGCATCTTTATAAATCTATTCTAAAGATTCTCCATTTATTACAATTTAAAATTGTTTTATATGTAAATTCTTTTATCCACTTGAAATCCATCTAGGACTACAAGTAAATGAACCTTTTTTATGAATTAAAGTATCTGAATGTTTAATTTCCTTCTTTTTAGAATGTGATCTCAATTAACCACTCAAACTTTATAATAATTGTTTTAATTATAAGAATAATTCATCCTAAGTTTTTGCTTAGATATGAACTACTGTTTCATTTGAATTTAACAATTAAACCCTATAAGCTATTGGTAATACTTTCTCATAATTATCTCCACTAGTTATCCAACAAGGTATACCTAATTATTTGATACTATTTAATGTTGGTATTACATTCTTATTGATCTTTTCTTAAACTCCTATTACACTTACAAGATCACAATTCTTTTCAAATTCATGCATTAAAAATTGATATTCATGCATAAATTCAATTTTATTAGTTTGAATGTCTAATAATTTATTGGCTTCTTTAATAAATGCAGACATTTATGTTTCAGTCATTAAACTTCTATAAAATAAAACTGGCCTGCTACCTTAGACCTATAAATCTTTAATCATTAGATCAAGTTTAGCCATTTAATCTTTTTCCAAAGATAAACAACCTATCATATCTAAACTATCATCTCTTAAATATTATAAATATTGTTAATCATCATATTCTAATCCTAATTTATTGCATAATTCTTCTTGCAATTTTATAATAATACTAAATTTTCTGGAATTAAATGAATGTAAAGACATTACATCAATTGAATATATTTCTTCTCCATCTTATATTACAAATTTCATATGATTTTCCTATTTACTTCTACAAATAAATTTAAAACCATAATGTTTACATAAATATAATTATTATTTATCTAAATCTGAACTATATTCATAAAAGAATGAATCATCACTTTTTTAATATAATGATCTTGTATTCTAACATACTACTAAAGCAAACATGGCTTCAAAATAATGAGGTTTAAATTCATTATCTTCAATTCTTCTAATCAAAGTAAGTTCATTTCCAGAAAATTCTACTTCTGAGACAATATCTAAATTTGATGAAATTCTAGGAGCATGGAATTTTTAACTACCTCTTTAATTATTTAATTATCTTTTACTTTCATGTAGACTATTAACAATGAGACTACTACCTCTTGGTTAAGATTATTTTTATATTTAGACTCCTTCAGCACTTTAATCAAATTGACTGCTAATTTAAGATTCTGGTCTAAATCTTGGAGGTTAAGTACGATGTAATTCATCATATGCAGGATGATCATCATCTAAATCTTCCATTTTAAAATTGACTTCTTCATTATTACATTTTATCATAGGAGTAGATTCAGGTTCTATTCTTTCATCTATTGGTATATTCAATTCTTCTCTCCTTTTAGTTTACTTAATTGCATTTAAAAAATCCTTTTCTGCAAATGCTCTATATCTTAATTTATAAAGAGAATCAAATATAAAAATCCATTTTATTTTAAAATTAGGCATTGTCAAAGTTCCAGTTTTATCAATTAAAACATGATTTATCAAAGATAAATTAGAAATTGGGGAATAATTCACCTATAAATGATGTAATTTTATATTTGTATTATCTAATAAAGGATTAACATCTTTAATTGAATGGTTTTGGTTGACTTTCTCCTTTTAGAATAAATAATTATTGTACAACATTTAAGTAAAATAAAGTACATCTATTAGAAAGTAAAAATAAAGAGGTAATAAATTAGAATAATTAATTAATTAGAATTCTAAATTATAATGATGTTCACCATAATATTCAATAATATATTAAATTACACTTAACAAGATTAAAGAGATTATGGCTATACCAAAATACAAATTAGCTTTTTATTCAAAATAACTTTATTTTTCAACATGTTTAAATGATTTATAACATCTACAATCGAGTCCAACTGAGAGAATGACTCCAAACAAATATAAGTCATTTAAAAGTAATTGTTCTCTAAAGAAGATGTTTTCTTTATTTATTTCTAAAGGTTTTGGATCCTTCTTTAATTTTACCATACCTTTATAATATTGATCTGAATCATTCTAATCATATCTAATAACTCCATTTAAAATAGTTCGATAATCTAACAATTAAATTTTATGTTCTTTCGTAATAGTAGTTAAAGGACATGCTCTTTTTCTAACTTCATTTGTATTACCACTCATTATAGTATTACTAGCCATACTAACAGATTAACCCATATCTAAAATTAAGACATCAGCTGGACAAATTTCATTATTTTTTAAATAAATGATATCACCAACCTTAAGTTGATCCCATCTTTTTATAGTGAATAATGAAATTCTAGGTTATTTGTCCTGTCGATAAGTAACTGTATCTATACTTACCTTTCTTATATAAATATCTTTTTGATAATTATTATTATTAACAATGTTTTCATGCTCAACTATATTTTTATTTAGAGATTTCCTTCCTCCTAATTAAATTAAATTTTAAGAAGGCACATTTAAAATATTTTTTTTTAAATCAGCAAATACAGTGGTTTAATGAGAGTTGATGATTTCATCACGTTTTCTCTTTTGGATATCAAAGTACAATTCAATTATAGTATGTATAGTAAATGTTAACAGTAGAGAAATTAGATAATTATAGTCTAATTATATCATGTTGATGACAAATAAGTACAAATTAAGAAATCGCTTAAAAAATTTAATTATCAACACGTATAAACAATTTGTTAATGTATATCGACTTGTCTTTACTAAATTAAATTGATTTTCATTTCCTCTAACATTTACACTCTCTCCATTTTCCAAAACAATCTATTGGTACATATTTCATACCTTTTTTGAATACTATTAATTCTCATGCAAATGATCATTATTAGTTTAAGGAACTTCTGATTTGAATATTTTAGACAATCTTTAAAAAAGACCCATTATAATATAATTAATAAATTCATTTCATATGAATAGTCCTCAATCTCTCTTTAAATTATTTATCAATCTAATTCTTCTCTTATTCTAATTATAATAATTGCTCCTATTCCTTCTCTCTCAATTAATTCTTCCATTTATTCTACTCAATCTCTAATTACTCCTCTTATTTAATTATCTATTTCATACTTATTTTAATTAAAGCTATCTAATAGATCTCTAAAACCTTGTGTCTAATTCCTTTGCTAATCCAATCAATTCTTCAACTGGCAATGTAAATTATTTGGATTATTACAAATTTGAATTCTCTTACTATTGAAATTTAAGAATATCATCCATCTTAGATGAAACATATTCAACATCTAAATTGATCTCAATCTCTACATTAATAATTTTGTGCTTGTTTCAATCTTTCATCTAATTCCTCCTATTATTTTGTTATCTATTCAATATATATCTTTTCCATTATATTAATAATTATATATTCATAATTTAATCCAAATGTCTACTTATTCAATTACACGAGATAATTTAACAATTAAATCAGTAATGTATTAAACATCTTATTTCTCAAAATAAGGATCCATGTTCTAAGTCTATTTATAATTGTGGACTGCCTTATTTAACTCCAGAAATTAGTAATTTACCAATTATCTATTTGGACTCAGATGATTCAACATTACTGGTAATTGATTTGTATTTCTAGTCCTGATTTTATTATCCATTATATGTAGACTCCTATGTTGAAATATTAGATTCTTTCTTATAGGATAATTAATGAGACTTTATCTTTTCCCATTTTATACCAACTGATCCATTTTTTTAATTGCAACCTTATTAGGAAGAGTTTCATCATCATTAAATATCAATTCAAATCCTTCTGCATCACTAGAAACATTAATTTCATGATATTCTACTAATCCATAATTCTTTTTGCCCTTTCCTATTGATCCTTATTCTAATTTCCTAATTCCCAATATTCTCAATGATGAATGAGGTAACTTAAATTATTTTTTGGATTTATTACTAAAATTGATCCATTAACCATTCTTTCATGAAAAATTGTAGCCTTATCTATATCTCCCTCCTAAAAGTAGTATTTCCCTAAATATTCATAAGCTTTCAATTCATGATCTTTCTTATTTAATTTCCAACTACACATCAAATATTTTGTAAAGTAAATTTTAGATTGTCTATTATGTAATTTAAAAAAGCAGATCCCTAAGAGTTTGTAGGCTTACAATTTATATTTTAATAAATGTTCATTATCAGACATCCTCTTTACTATTTTAGCTAAGATTATACTAAAGTAGAGTAACTTATAACTGTATACTATTTTAGCTAATTTAAGGTGAATGAATATTTTCAAATCTATAATTATTTTTAATCAAATCATACCTGGAATCTTAGATTTCAATACTTAATTACTTATTTCATTGATTATTTTTATCGCTTAATCTCTATCCTTCCGTTCTAAAAATAATTAATTTAATTGTATTAGAGTATTTTGAATGATACTTCTATTCTATTATAACATCTCATTACTAATTATATAAAGATATAAACTTACATAATCTATTATTACTTTTCAGGATTCCTTATTTCCTCTTTAATTTTATCTATCTCTTCTTAAAATGCTAATTTTATATTTGAGATTATTAGAGCTTCTTTTATTGCATTCTTTGTTTTGATAGTATGTCTACAAGTCAAATCACCTTTGAATTGTGTTTCATTAGTAGATTACAACTAATCTTAACTAGTCTCTGTTTAAAAATGTCCTGATTTTTTCGGTAAGCATAATAATTTAATTCTTGATCTTACTTTCATATTTAGATAAAATAATATATTTTTCAATTAAGTTTCAACTAGTAATCTTTGATAAACATTTAAATATGAAATTTTTTGGAAAATGAAAAACATTAATTTTTTATAGAATTTGTTAATAAAATACTTATGGCAGAACATAAACCTGAAGAGAGAGCACTTACAGAAGAGGAAAGATAAAAATATGATAGAGCAGGATTTATTGGACATTAAGTCTAAAAAAGGTATTAACTTTAAGTATTACAATAGAATATTAGCATCCAATATTATAATTGTCAATATGACAGGAAGCAATACTGAATTAGCCAAAAATTTAATATTAGCAGGTGCCAATATAACCATTGTGGATAATTAGATAATAACAGAAAGAGACACTGATACTAATTTCATTTTTACTAAATAATTAATAGGATAAAAAGTACTCTATTTATTGGTTATCATTTTTAGAGAGGTTAAATAGCTCAAGAAGAATTAAAATTGATAAATCCTTTAGTAACAATAGATTGGTTAGAGGAATTCCCAAATTAAGATCAACTTATTAGAAACAATGCTATTGTCACATCAACTACAGATTTTGAAGAGATGATTAAATATGATAATTTATCAAGAGAAATTAATATCCCTTATTACAATTTAGTGTGTTGTGGATATTATGGTTTTATGTATATTGGTTTAGGATCTAAATTTACATATGAAAGAGAGAAAAAAGTTATTTTGTAAATAGTTTTTGGAAAGAAATTACAAGAATAAGATAGATATAAAGAATTTGAAGAAGTCATTGCTCATTCTGTACCATTAGAATAGACATTGAATTACAATTATAAACCTTAAGGAATGGTTACTAATATTATTTATTATTGTATTTTAATGATGAAAAAAGCATAAGAAATTCCAGAATTAAAAGCATATGATCCTTATTAACCAAACGATGAATTATTAGATAAATTCACTTAAATAGGATAGGAAATATTTAAAAATGCTAATGGTAAGGATGCCACAGAGGAATAAACAAAAACATTTAGAGATTTTGCAAGACTTTATGGAGTAGATTATTGTCCAGTATATTCTGTTGTAGGTAGTGTAGCTTCATAGGAATTAATAATATCAACAAGTAGAATTAATGAACCAGCTTTAAATTGGTTTTGTTATGATAGTATATAATCATTTGGTTAAGTGGAAGTGATTTAGGATTTATCATCATTTAAAATTAGAGATTTACCTGAGAGAAAACAATTGATTCCAAAAGAATGAAATATATATTAATATTTTAATACATAATTTAAAACTTTTTTAGAATGAATAAACAGTTTTACTATTTATATGCGTGAATAAAAAGTACGCAACATTATTATAAAAAATATAAAATGTCAGCAACTTAAACTTAACATTTGATTTTTGGGTCAACTTGGCCATAAGAAAATATGATCATTAAGTACTGTTCTATACAACAGAGTTTTTAGAAAGTTCCTATTAACACTGGATTAAAGGTATATAAATTTTAAATCATTCTTAGATCAATAATTGGTCATGTGCCATTCCTTATAAAGATAATGAGATTCTAATAACAGGTGGATTGGGAAATACCAATAAAATAATCTCAAATGATGTTTATATATTTAACACATAAACTAATTAGGTAAGTAATTTAACGCATTTTAGTTAAGTCAATTTGGTTAATTCACACAATCTAGATATGTTCATTAATGTGTAAATCATAATGATAAAATATATATATTGGGAGGAAGACAATATGGTCCAGATTTTGAGAGTGTTCTATCACATTGTGAAGTATATGATGGAGGTGTATGGAAGGTATTTCTATTTGAATTATTATAGACTATTTCACCTATGACAAAGAGAAGATCTAATTTTGGAGTATTCTTATATAATGATCAAATTTATTGCATCGGTGGATTCGATGGAAAAAAAAATACAAAGTCTATAGAATACTATGATGAAGCTAAAAATATTTGGGTGAGAAGTAAATTAAGAATGCCAAGAGGATTGGCAGGATTTCATTTGATTCCTTTAGAAAATGAAAAAATAATGATTGTTGGAGGAATGACATTATAAGGACCATCATAAGCTTGTATAGTCTTAAACCTTAAAAGTAATTAAAATCTTTATAATATACTTTAGATAATACATGTATTTCATATTCATAATTGAATTAAATTAGATCTCTATTTCATATGTTCAGAGATGAATTTGGTAATTATATTGTATATGGTGGAATGAATAAATAAAATACTTTTGAATTATTCAATTTTGAAAATAAAATATGGGAAGAATTTCTAATAAATATGGATGATAATGTTCAAGAAATATTAAATTAGAATTTAAGAGGAATGTCATCAGTTTAATAAATTTGTAGAGTTGAAAATTACTAATAAATTATCTAATAAAAATAATTATTACAAATTTAACCAGATGATGTTGTTTTTATTTTTGGAAATGATGAATATCCATTTATACTTCCTATTCCAAAATCACCAACAGAACATTTGAATCCATTAGAAGTTCCTACTTCTTTATGTATGTATTCATATATGAGTGTCTGCTCTATTGATGCAGAATTGCCAAATTGTAGATAAATTCTATTAGCAGGTGGCATAGATTCTAAAATATCATAAATTAATAAGAAAGCTTATTTAGTTACAATAATATTTCCAGAAATGAAGGTGAAAGTCAAAAAAGTGGGAAAGTTGAGTTATCATAGATATGCAGCTTCATGTGTTTACAATGCTCCATATGTATATTTTATAGGAGGAAGAGGATATTAAAATGATGTTTTATCATTACACAGTACTGTAGAGAGATTCAATATTGATGAAGAGGAATGGGATTAAATTGCTCCATTAAATGAGGCCAAATGTTCAATGACAGCTAATGTAATTGGAGAGAAAATCTATGTTTTTGGAGGATATATTGGAGAAGGTACATTTATTATAATATAAATGTAGGACAAATTTCACATAAAATAGAATGTTATAATGAATAATCTTAAGAATGGGATGTATTGAATATTGAGTTGCCATTCTCTTTGGAAGGATTATCATCCATAGTTATAGATGATTAAGATTTATTCATATTTGGAGGTAAAGGGTTTGATGGTAGTAAGAAAGAAATCATAAGATTCAATTTAGATGATTTAGAATCTAATCAGAATGTTTCAGGGTATATTCTTATAAATAATTAATAGATAAATAGTAGGAGCACTTTAATATTCTAGATCATTGCCTAAACCAATTTTACTTGATGATAAGAATGTTTTGATTATTGGAGGTTATTTCTTTGACAATCCAGAAATCAATTTTGGAGAGATGTTTAACATTGATAACCCTGGAGATTCCAATAATGAATATGCGAATCAAATAGAACTAGCAATCTTATAGATGGGAGCCAGTGATTCCATCAACTTATTCAGCATAACTAATTGAAAACTATTAATTAAAATATATATTAATTATAGAAATGAATTAATCAACAGGATAAAACTAGTAATCTTAGCCTTTAATCAATTATGGGAATGTGAAGTATTCATTCAAATGTTTACGTCGACATCTTTTAAAGGATAAAGTTTATCATGTTCTTGCACTTCAAAATATGATTACTATTGGAGAGGTATTTAAGTAAACTTAA